CACCCCCCCCCCCCCCCGCGCACGAATGCGCCCTGCTGGTCTTGGGTCTTCACTACACCTGCACGCTGAGGCCTGAGGTCGTGATCCGGCACACCCCCCTAGTGAACCCTTAACCTAAGGTGATCCCCCAGGCCTCATCTGCTAAGGCTGGTGCCGGCACTATGTTGCAGACTCTTGTTTCAAAGTCTCACAACCGTCTACTGCTCCCTTCTCCCCCCTCAACAGACAGCGGCTGCAACATGCCAACATGACACTCAAGTGCATCTACTGACTAACACACGACTCGCGGAGCTGCCAGGCACTGAACTGTCTACGTCCCCCTGCACCGTTCTAACAACATGTCCCCCTCGAGTACAGCAGAGCAAGGTCTGCAGGTGCTAAGTTCAGTAAAGCGAACTGGGGTGCACGGTGACTAGTTGCAAAACTGCAGTCTGAGGGTCCGGCCTGTCCAAAGCAACAAGAAAGGTTATGTTCCCCCCGCCTTTGAGTCTGTCTCTGTCTGTCTCTGTCTGTCTCTGTCTGTCTCTGTCTGTCTGTGTCTGTCTCTGTCTGTCAGTCAGTCAGTCAGTCAGTCAGTCAGTCAGTCAGTCTGTCTCTGTCTGAAACGGAAACTTCTCATCCGGCAACGGGCGCAAGAATAAGCACCACATGCTTCTGGCAGGGCCTTGCGAATGACCAAGTAAAGCTTCGAGCGGAGGAAGCGTATGGCAGCCGAAGTCTTTGACCTGAAACACAGCGCAATCCAAATGCCACAGTCCTGCTGCATCGTGATGACGTTGTTCCGTGGCTTGCATGTCACTGTAAGACCACACCTCAAGTCAGCAATATTTGGAGCATCTTCGCCAAGCCTCAGGTATGCTGACTGTAGACATCGAGAAGACTCGGCACCTATCCTTTGCAGCTCAAGCGCGAGGAGACAAAAGCCTGTGACAGCTGCGAGAAGAAATCTTGGGGCTCTTCCTCCTGCCACATTAGCAGCACTACGTGACAAGTATGCTCCGGTGGCTCAACTTGATGTGTTGGAAAGGACGTGAGCAGTTTCGGTGGCAGTATACTGTTCTCATTTCTTAGTCCATCAGGTTGGACTCCTGAATTGAACCTGCCACAGCAAGTTCGAGAGCAGGGGCCCACCTCGATAATGAAAGTGTAACTATCACGCTCCTGCTGCTGCGCTTCCTCCTCCTCCTCTTCCTGCCCGGCCTCGTCCTACTCGACACCATCTGCGATGACGAAGATGCTGCCACGGCTACGGCTGCTGCTGCTGCTGCTGCTGCTGCTGCTGCTGCTACCGCTGCTCCACTGCTACGGGCACTGCTACCGCTACAGCTCCTGCTGCTGCTGCGACTGACTGCCGCAGGCACTACGGCTACTACCACCACTGCTACTGCTGCTGCTGCTGCTGCTGCTGCTGTACCACCCCAACACGATGAACACGAGAGGTACAAGACCAAACGTATGCTAGATCTGCAGGAGCAGTGGGCAAGTAAGTCCTCCGAGTCCATTTTGGTCTCGTAAGCTTGTAGTAGCCAACCAGTCATCTTGTTGAGAGTACCTCTTCATGGAACTCCTCAGGATGGCTACGGAACACGTCACAGCGTCAAGGTCAGGAGCCTTCCATGTTCATCCGAACCTCGGATTGCGATTGCGAAGCGCAGCTAGCCATCGCACACGGGTTCACCGAAAGACCACCCAGTTTGCCATTCCTGAGACTGCTCCTGTCCGAGCTCGAGGAAACCGAGCTATTTAGCCATTGCGAATGTCTTGTGGGTAGGCGTGGTTGTTGAACCTTCCCGCTGCGAATATTGTTTAGCGAAGGAAACCAACTTTGTTCCAAGGAGCACCATGTTGGAGGATTGAAAGCATCAGCACCGGCGCTGCATTGGCAGCCCTTCGTGGGTTCAACAGATGATGCGATCTCAACATATTAATGTCCAGCTCGCATACAGGTAGCACAGCATCGTCGGCATCAATGTCTGCTTCTCAACTCTTGCCCTCTCTCTCTCTCTCTACAGGGCTGTCTCTCCCTCTCTCTCTCTCTCTCTGTTCGAAGCCCTTCGTCTATAGTTCAAGTTCAACGTCCGATCGTCCAGAAACGACTGTCAAAGATCTCCTCTGCGTCGTTCGAGATACTGGAGCTCCGTCAATATCGAAACTGTGTCATGTGCTGTTGCACGGAAGCAGCATGACTTGCTGCGAGCGGACTTAACCCCGTGGCTGTCTGATGGTTGTATCCGATTGTATCCGGTGTCTTCAAAGTTTTCATGCCAGTTGGTGCTGGTTCATGCCTGAGCGGCGTGACCTTGCAACACTGTGAAGATTGGGAGGCTGAAGGGTTTGGAGTCATCGGTGGACTGCTGCTGATTCGCATCTTCCGGAGTCTCAGCCGCTGCAGCCGGAAACAACGCTTCCCGCGTGCTCGGCCCAGGATTGGACTGCCAAGGCGCTGCATACAGCTTCGAGATCGCTAACTAGGGAGGATGACACATTCAAGAGAGCAGCATACATCCCTGAGGTGCACTACCGCAAGTAAATGTAAAGAGCTGACTGATTAGTGCGACGCTCGCATGTCTAGGTCCGTTTTCAACAGCCGCGTCAAGATGGACACGCGTGCATGAAAATTCCAATGGCAGGAGGCCTGCGTCCGCAAGTGGCCTCCCCAGGCAAAGTCCAGCATTCTGAGCTCGCAGGCACTATCGCGTTCTGGTACAGCAAGACCTCCCACTTGTCACCGAAACGAAGGCGCACATGCACACACTCGCAGTTACACTTGAACAACATGTAGGAGTCTGACCATGACATGGCTTTCAGACACCAGCTGGTCTCGGGTCGGAGAGCCCGAGTATGTCTGCACCTGCCCGGTGCTTCTGGAAGAGCAGTACAATTTCTGATCCGAAAGTTCACTGCACATCTCTGCGCCGTGCTTCTTCCCAAGAGGCCTCGAGCCGCTCTCCAAGGCTAAGGAGCAAGTCCTGCCGTGGTGCGGTCTGCACAATTTAGGAGCTGCCTCAGGCTGCCTCCAAACAGCTACAAGTAACAAGTACTCCTCACATGGCATCTACGGTGGTGGGATGTTGTTGAATGGTTCCTTGGGTGTTGGTTTATTGGCGGGGCGTTCACTGATCTTAATTGGGTGCTTATCGCACAGTCAGCGGCGTTCAGATGGCCGCGTCGAGTATTCAATTCTCTGGGAATCGGTGGTGGTAGTTGAACAGTGCTGAGGGGGCCCCGCTAACTGTCCTATGGGGGTTAGTCCTATGGCCCGAAGTGATCCATCTCTAGACAGGGTCAGGTGTTCAACTCGATGTGATCGACAAAACACAGCATGAAGCGTTCACTAACAAAGTCCAAAGTGTTCAAACATCACAAGAACAAGCGCTGCACAGCGGAGCCCATTCTACCAAGTTCCGCTTTTGTAAAGAGAGCATATGAACTAACATTAGAGGAAACCCCGAATGCATGATCAGTCAAAACTCTGACTCTAACCCTAATTACATGTTACGGCGATGGTCCGCGCCAGGCGTTCTTGGAGTAGCGATTTGTTCTGAGCTTCTGAAGCTGGTGAGTCTCCCTTGCTTGTCTCATTGCTGTGGGGCTTGTGGGCTCAGTCGAGCAGAATCAGTCCTCGACATACTTCTGATCAACAGCCTTTAGGGTGTCCTGATGCGTGGATCAACTGGCTCAAATGTTCAATTGTGCTCTTTCGCAGACGCTGGCAGACCTGCGGCATGAGGAGTCGAATTGGGCCCGAGTTGTCGTCCATGAGCTCCGAAAGGGCTTGCACCAAAGACTTGATAGTCACCCCCACGAGCCTCACACAAGTACGGAACACTCACAGCACGCATTGTCCAAAGTTGCAGCGGGTGGCTCATGGTCCCGCTTGCCACAGGATCTCAGCTCCTGCAGAAAGTGACTGCATGTCTCCGCAATTCTCCAGGAATCCGAGCACATTTCGCAAAGCACTCCTCAAAACCCGTGAAGCCGTCGGACTGAGCAGCAAAGCCCCTGCTGGCTCGGCCTCGGCCTTCCTGCAGAGAGAACGGCGCTTTGTGAGCACTCTTCAAAATGGATGGATGCGACGCTTCTCTCTCACCTAGCAGTGGACCTAGCAGCTCTTTTTTTCGCATATCGTGTCCTTGATGTCAGCGGTACCCTTCCAAAACACCATCTCGGCAGCCGCGACCGTCAAGCCGCCAGCGTTTGCCACTTGTCGCCAGCAGAGAGGCTCCGGCGCCTTCAGTGCGCGAAAGCTACCATGGGCCAGTAAGTTGAGCTCATCAGTGTGTCCTGATTCTTGAGGAGGACCGACAAACAAAAACCAAAAAAGGGGCAAGAGAGCACACACAGTTGTCTGCACTTGTGAAGGCAAGCCATAATTTGAGTCCCGATGCTTTCTCTTCCATAAGTTCTGGAGCTATACCTTAGCGTCGGTTGAACGTTCTTCTATGAAAGCCCTTCGGCGAGAGAGGTGTTGCGTGCCTGCCTGATAGTGCTCACAACCGGGGCCCCCGCTCTCTTCGCTGTTCAAGATCCCTTTCGCAAGACCGAGGTCATGCATCTTGTGATTTCACACATGCTCGTTTCTTCTAGAAGCTCGCCGGTTCTGTCAAGGCCGGGAACCAACGCCAGAGCCTCGCTGCTTGCAGAGCTCTCGCCACTTTGCCAGGATCATATACAGCTGTCTCTCCCATGAGATCGAGGAATACCTTACAGCAACAGCATTTCGGCCAGGCCAGCAACGCCGCCTCTGTGACTGCATGAGGCCAAGCCTTAGGCCCTAATTTCTGAGACCGGGGCATTCGAGTCATCTCCTCGAGCAGCGTCGGGAGCAATATCACTGCCTTGACATGGAGAGGAGAGGGGACTGTTGCGTGGGACGGCAATTCGGGAAGGAAGATGCAGACGTGCTTATAAGCTTGAGGCGTTGTTCTGCCAGTGCTTAGGCTTGTTGTACATACGAAGTGTTAAAATTGAACACGCACAGCAGTACACCGCGCTTTTCGTTGTTGGACGTTGTCCTTCACACATCTCCACACGGGCAGCTGATGGTGGCTCCATGACTCTTCCAAACACGGCTGCAGGCGAGGGGGGGGGGGGCCTCGTACTGTCAGAGACTTCCTCGAGACCCCGCCTAGGGCGACGATCACAGCCTTTCTCAGCACTGCCCCAGCTGGCAGCATGAGAGTTGCTGGGGCCTGATCTTGTGCTGATATTCTGCATGCTCCTGTCTTGCTTTGTCCGTGACATTCGGAGAAACAACTTCAGGATTCTTCAGATTTTCGCATTTCCTGTCATCGGGAAATTCAAAGCAGCCGAACGCTGTATTTTCTGATATGACGTTTACTTGAGCTGTGATACGAGTTGCGATCGCAACTCGAATTGCATGCGATCTCGTTGCGACTTGGATCTGGCCTGGACAGGATCGCCCATGTTCGGGATACGACCTCGATTCGGATGGCCCGCATTCGGGGTACGACTTCAATGCGATTCGGCTGCGAGCTTGATACGATTCTGATGCGATTGTGATTGCCACGGAGAATCGTCTCGAAGACGTTTAGGAGCCGCATCGAGATCGTAGCGAACTAGCATGGCACGATTCAGCTACGACATTGATAGGGTTTCTATACGGTTTCACTCAGACCACCTGCACCCGCCTTTCGGCCACGCACAAGCCATTCGAGAGCAAGCCCCAGGCCCCTACCTGAACCCCAAATCGCAACACAACCTCAAAACCGTACCAAAATCGTTCTGTCTGTAATCTGCAGCCAAATCGTAGCGAAATCGTAACGACACATCTGTCCGACAGCCGCATCCAAATCTTTTCCAACACTGTGTCCATAGATTCTGGAAGTTGTTTGATGGAAGCCTCATCAGGCCAGTGTGAAACTTACGATATACCTTAGCAGCTAAACTCGGTCCATGCCATGCCAGCAGGGTCTTACAGCAAGTAAACATCTCTTGCTGCTAGATGTTCTTGGATTGCTCAACCTCCACTGCAACTCCGCAGCGTGTACCCGCTGCAGGTTTGACACCTAGTCTGTGAGGCACCCGTATCGCTGACGTTCTTTACGACAGAAGCTTGACTTCAAGGACCCCGGGTCCGATTGCAGTCGTGGTCGATGACACAGTTTGGGCCGTGGTTCGGTCCCACTTCCGGACCAAGGCTCTTGGCGTTTCAGGACATGGAAACCGTGCTCAGACCAGGTTCCCTTTCCAGTCGGGTCCAGTGTATACTGTTCAGGTTGTCGCTAAGCTCGTTAATGCTGTTTCGGGCCTGTTCATGTCCATTTCAGCGCTTGTTCCGAGCAAAACATGAAACAACAACTACTGCAGTCCAAAGCACGCCATCCAGCTTGTTAGTTCTTTCGAGCGCGAGGAAGGCTTTCATGACAAGCGACCGGAATCTGTCATCGTGCCATCGTCCGTATTCTGGATCTGAAATCGCTCGTGTGAGAGGGTGCTTGCCGTCGGCATCGACAATACCGCCACCTTTGGCACCTTGGCTCTGTTTCGGCAGAACTGCCGTTCATGTAAGCAAACCACCGCGGTAGCCTGACTCAGACTCAAAACAGTACTAGTCGCGGCAGCAATAGCAGCAGCAGTAGCAAGCATGTTCAAGATGTTGAAGATGATATTTAAAAAAGCCAGTCAGCTTGGGCTTGGGGTATTCGAGCCAGCCATGGCAGAAGTGTACGAGCCCGCTCGATGATGATGATGATGGTTCCTTGCGTATTCTAAAGTTGCAGTTAACTGCTTCGCCCCCGCTTGTGTTCACGCTTAATGGGTGAGATGTTCTCCGTGCTGGTCCCTGTTTGCCGAACGGTTTAAGCGACAGGTGGTTCGGAAAGGGGGTGGGGGGGGCATGCCTAGTAGTAGTAGTAGTAGTAGTAGTAGCAGCAGTAGTAGGAGCTACTAGTGGTGGCAGTAGTAGTAGTAGTAGTAGTCGTCGTCGTCGACGTCGTCGCAGTAGTAATAGTAGTAGAGTGAAAGCACTGCAAAAGAACCCACTGCTTGAGAACCTTAGCCCCTACCCCCGGCGGGATTCACAATATTCAGGTTGCTTCAGAATTGAGAACCTTACGGTACCCTAGTTTTCGGGGTCAGGTTCTTGATTTCTTGGGTTCGTCATGGTTTGGCTTGTTCTGAAAACGCCGGAATGAAGAACCTTAAGGGGGGCTAAGGTTCTTAAATCGAGGGTTTTGCAAAAATAAACCCGAAAACCTAAACCTTAAACCCATTCTCCGACCAAAACCCACCCTAAACCCTACGAAGCGGATTAGGGCCGGATAGAGGGGTCGAAGGTTCTTGCTTAGGTGGTTGGGCTGCCTAGCCGGCCAAATCAAAGGCAATGGAAAATAAGAACCTCAGGGTAGGCTAGTCCCGCCGAATGGGGTTCTTAAACAGGGTTTTCACTGCAGTAGTAGTAGTGGTAGTCGTCGTCGCCTTGGTAGTGGTAGTGATACGTAGTGGTGGCATGGGCAGTGGCAGAGCATGGGCATTGGCAGTGGTGGTGGTGGCGGTGGTTGTTTCACGGCTCCTGTTGCGGCGCGTGACTTACGATGTTTCCAGTCCCGGTGCAGCCGCGTCCCCGAAGTAGAATTCCCGAACTTGATGAACCGCGCTCCAGCCACAATGCCGTGCGAACTTTGGGTCTTTGGGTGGCGATAGTGCTGTCGGCCGTGCCCGTTTCTTGGCGTTCCAAGTCAAGGCAGGACAATACTGTACGCCTCCTCGGGTCCTTGTGCTCTCGGAGTCAGCGAAATTGTGTTCCCGGCCACCGGCGCCTGTTGCCGCCACAGTCTCGTGCAATCACATTCCTGTGCAGTGCGGTGCACATTTTGCTTGCGACTCGTGTGCCCCTCCCAAAATCGTGCTCCGGCCAGCGTCCCCAGCGTCCCACGGTGGGACTCCTGCTCCTAACACGGATTTTGGGGCCCTAGTCATCGTGCTCCCACCACAATGTTTTGCGCATGTAGGCGTGGTGTGCTTTCAGCCGAGCTCCTGGATGGGTTGGTGGGTATGTTGGGTTTCGACTGCTAGGTCTTTCACGATTTGGTTTCTAAGCTGCCTTACTATCATGAAGATGCTTTGAGACAAACTCGCACGCACAACAGGACCTCGCATCATCAACGACTGGCAGTGACCCCAAAACACCTCCTGGTTGCCAAAAATACCCAAACCCTGCGGATGATGGGTGGCAAGCCCCAAGCCCAGAAAAGCATGACGGGTTTCCGAAAACTCCATGTGCCCCAAACCTTGAACAAGAAGCTGCCCGGAAATGACGGCAAGCACTGCTAAACCCTACGAGGAGTGCTCGGATGAAGACCCAAATCCCAAAACGGGTGACCAGAGATGAGTGGCAAACCCACAGCCCCCTAAAGACGCGACTGGTTTCTAAACCACTGAACCCTAATGGGAGCCACCGATTGTTACCGAGAATCCTTAAGTGACCCTGAAAGGGGAATCACTAGAGATGATGGGAACCAAAAATTGAAATGAGTGGGAGTCCCAACACCCTTAAACGCTGGCTGGCAGAGAAGAGAGGCACAACATGGCAAGGGCAGAAAGAAAAGGATGCTGATCCAGCTCAAATCACGTCGGAATCACCGCTTCCGTTCAAGCAACTACGATAAAAGACAGAGGACCAATCATCCTTTGAGGGAGGGCCAACTGCAGGTACCGCAAATTTGTCTGTCACGGGGTTGGAGTCAAGGTGCTCCCAGAGCCAACCTCGAAGCCTTTTGTCTTGACAGCGGCCGGACGTGGCCTAGGAGGAATGCCAATGCTTGTGATGCCCTGGCGACGTGTCAAGCTGAGAGCGTGTCCGCTGCCTGTTCGGCGGGACAGCATACCTGCTGTAGCGGATGTCAAAGTCAGTTGGCAGCCGGACACACTCGCTCATGTCCGAGGTTTGAGTTTTCCACGTCACGGTACTGATGCATCCGGGAATCCATACGATGCAGACATGGCTGACGGATCTGTTGTTGGCGCAGCCGCCAAGGAAGCCATCCGTCTTATGTGTAGTTCGTCAAACTGCTGTTGCTCATGCTGCATCCGTGCAATGATTTAAGTGCGGTGGGTGACAGCCGCGGCCTCTGCAATCGTACGTGGCAGATCCACACCACTGGCAGACCGACAAAGCAAGGCGACAGCAGCTCGCGTCGCGCCGACAACCTCCAGCCACAGCACATGTGCTAAGGCTGCTAAGGGCACAAGCATGCCGGCCACTGCATCGCCGTATCAGTTTCTCTTTTCGAGGGAACAATGTATTGCCGGGTGGATGTTGGTTCTGCCAGTAAGAGTGTTGCAGAATGTTGGGGTCGACCGACGGCCAACTGCTTTGACATGCAATCTCAAGAGCAAGCGTAGCTTACCTCGGCCCAAGGTGTTGTCCACGCCGCACCTGGCAATCTCCAGCAAGCAACATGGCAGCTACAGAAACCCAATGCTGGATGACGCGGCGCATTAGGCATAAGTGCTGCATGCGCTGCGACAAAGCTCACATTGCACGGACACAGACCCCAACAGAAGAACCTGAGCCCGCCACACCGGAGGTGTCCGGGGGACACCGTGCCGCAGGTTGGCTTCTAAGCATTTGCGACGACCGGTAGGCCTTCAGAGCAACGAACTCACTCCCAGTAGTAGCTATGCCCCGCTTGGTCTGCAGTAGGCAACTCTGCTTGCAGTGCAATGAAGCCCTTTAACATCTGGATCAAAATAAAACAGGTACGTTTTTTGAAATCTGACAGTTTTTTGCGTGCAGCAGGCAGCCTGGGCCTGCCGTCCCAGGTCCAATGCCATGGCTGCATGGCATCTTCTCGTAAGTGCCCCTAATGGGACCTACGTTTCAGAATTTAAATACGCCACCCTGAAGTAGCAACGACTAGCACAGCAGCTCAAGTGATGTCCGGAAATGCGGGGTTGCTCTGGAATTCATCCGACGAACCTGTAATGACAATCTCTCCACTTGGGCAAACGGCAACAAGTCAAGTCGACAGTCGCAAAGAGCTCTGCAAGCGATCTGCGAGTAAGAGCACGCAACATGTCCTATCAAGCCTTTCGGAGCTTTTCCGGAAACGGAGTACTAACAGTAGCCAAGATTCGGAAGGTGGGAGACACAAGACATACGGTAATGGGAGGGAGAGAGAGAGCTCCAAGACTCTGCCGAAGCAATCTACCCGATTCGGATCTGACCATGTGCATCAGGAAAAGGAAAGATCCACATCCTCAGGGTGCTGCACATGTGCTCTCATAGTCATAGTCATAGCGATGCATCTGCACCCAGGTGTAAAATCGGAAAACAGACCAGCCAGTCGCAGCAAAGGAACACCCTCAGCGAGCAATAGATCCAGATGGGCGGTGTCCAGCCCCAGCCCTGCGCCTCAGTGAGACTCCAGGAGCTTTCTCAGGTCAGGGAAGAAGCATACCCAAGCGAAACCAAGTGCTGCTCCAAGCGAAGAGCTTCCGCTGTGGAGTTTCTCTGCCTGGAAGGCCAGCATTCCCAAGCATGTCTGTCCGGGCTTGGACCGGGTAAATGCTACAACCGTAGATCCCCAAACACTGCAAGAAGCCACCCCTAAGGAAGCCACCACACCACAACGAGACCATCAGGGCACCATACCAAAATCGTTCACCCCGTCCATGCCGGTGGGATTCAGCGTTCCACTGTGGCAGGAAAATGCGACTGCTGGTGGGAGGTTTGGGGAGCGCCAGGTATGCGTGAGTGTGCGCGAGTATGCACGAGTGTGCACAAGTATGCGCGGGTATGCACGAGAATTGTTTCAGGTACGAGCGAGTATGCGCAGGTATGCGCGAGTATTCTAACAACTACATAGTACACGAGATACTGTATACTGTCTTTGATAAAGACGATACAGAAGAAACTATATGTTATCTATTTTTGTATACTATGTTTTGTATTATCTACTGTGTACAACATACCTTACATTGTTTCTTTACGAAATATGTAAAATAAATAAGAACTGTTATATTTTGTATTATGTAATATCGTGTATTTTCATATACACACATCTATCTATCTATCTATCTATCTATCTATCTATCTATCTACCTATATATATACATGTACCTATACCTATTAACATATATATATATAGTGTTATTGATTTTACATTATATATCATGCAGTAGCAATATTATTATGTAATATATGGAAAATGAATATTACATACTGTATAATGCATGTTCTGCATTGTATCTCAGACTTTACATAGTATATGTTACATACTAGCGAATGGGACATCAGATACCATGAAATGTTTTAGAGTGGTGAATACCATAATGGTCTGTGCTTTGTGATAGCTGCTATACATTGTGGTGCCACTCTGGCGTGCTCGAGCATAGTGGAACATACTCCCGCGTACTCCAGCATAATCGAGCATACTCGAGCATACTCGAGAATACTCGAGCATACTCGCGTATGCGCGAGTACTCGGAGTGCAGTCGCCCATCGTTTCCGCAATGTTGCGTTCCACGGACACTCTTCAAACTTACCACAATGCGTCCCGCCTTGTCTGGTGGGTGTTGAGCATTTTCAGTTACTCTTTCTTCCCGGAGGATGTGACCGAACGGGAAGTGTGTACATCATGGGAAAGGAGCATTAACTGCACACATCTGCACACCACGCCACAGCAGCAGCACGCAATATTGGGCGATCTTGGTGTGAACCTTACCCAACTGTCTCCACCCTCAACGCAAGAGGCATTAGGAGCCTCAGAGTGTCATAGTGTGTACCACGCTGTTTTTTGGAATTTTACCACTTGTCGCATGCTGACATCGCATGCATCATGCGCGGGGCCTTTGCATCTCAAGGTAGTTTACACATTGATCATGTCTCTTGGTAACGTAGACATCCGCGATCATCCGCGCCTTCTTCTTCGATCTCGCCTCGCACTTTACTGACTGCGCCTGCCCAGCGGCTGGACTGTGCACTTGGAACATGTAATCTCCCACCGAGACGGGCATCGAACATGTCATCTGCACTAATCTGCTGTGCCGTGCTGACCGCAAAATCCCCCAGACCCAGTGCCGGCCGCAGCCTTCTGCTCCTCCAAGATGAAGCGAGCAAGGCGGTCGTCTCGCTTGCCGTAGCGCTGCGCGGGAACGGAACAGTGCTGGCAAGACCCGAAGATCACAGCCACCTTTGCCCCCTAAAAGGAAAGGCGCCGCGGCTCTTCTCTTCCCGCGCCTCGCGTCTCCAGGCCCGGGCCTCGGCCTCATCGGCCTGGGCCTCGGTGGAGAAAAAAGGCGGAGAAACCACCAGGATCTCCGACCTTCGGTCCGGCTCGCTCCGACAGCTGTGACGTGCACGACTCTGATATGGCGGGCCCTGAAGCAAGGTTCTCTGAAACAGAGCTCGATTTAAGAACTATGTCTCCTACACAAGGCGGGGTTCAATTTCGAGGATGCTTCCAGGGCGGCTGGATCACCATGCTTTATTATGTCGAACTTGTACTTTGGCCGTCATGTTTGAACAATTCTTCACTTCACACTTAGTTCACTTCAAGCCATGGCATGCAGTTCGCTTCCCGTCTGTGTTTTCGCGAGGGTTGGCCTCAATTTCTGTGATTGCGCACTATCGAGTGCACGCGCCGTCGACAGGAATACGAAAGACGCCAAAAAGACAAGCAAGGAGGGGCAGCACGGGGAGGAGGAGCAGCTGTGGAGCACGGCAACAGCCACTCGCACAAAAAAAGCTGGCACTTCGATCGCCAGAACCACTAGAGCTGCAACATCTGCAAGAGCTAAAACAACAGCACGAGCCACAGCAGCAGAAGCAGCAGCAGCCGCCGCCGCACCAACATCATCGACACGGACCGTCACTGCTGGTGACACTAACAAGCATTGTGAAGCATAGAATGAGGGCACTTGCGCCTTGTCGCCTGAATATGTCGAGAATCCCTGATTGGCACAGAGCCCTGCCAGCAATGTGGCTGCGTGCGAGTGTGCCATAGTGTGCCGTTCCAAATAACTGCATGTCTCTGTCTACCTCTTATGTACATTCCAGCAAAAGATTCTGGTCGCGGTCGCTGAAGAGATGCGAAGAACACAGCACCAAGTCGTAACACCGACAGTACTGGCAGGGCTGAAAGGCGAGCAGTGACAACTTCTAGCAATCAGAAGAACCAAAGTAACCAAAGCAGAAGTCAATCTAAGATCTGTGCTTGTCGTCGCTTCTGCTCCAGGGTTCGCCGCCGAGCCCGAGCAACAGCCTGGCTCGAAAGGCCCCAATCGGCCGCAAGCCACAGCTCTCATGTTACGCTGAGACCCGCTAGTGAGAAGACTCTTGCCTCGGCTTTGGCTTGTGCCCTGCTGTGATCTTTGCTCAGACGATGACGACGGCTACAACAGGCTAGAAAATCTAGAAATACTATCAGTCTGGCTATGATGGCGACCATGGCGGCTGATGGCGACTGCATGCTGTTGCAATCGATTGTACCTACTGACATCAACCTCCTCAGCCGCATGTGCCACACGTACCTACCTTAATAACTCGTGAACTCTGAGCTGCTGAGCCCGCCGCTGCAGCAATCTCTTCGGTTGGCGCACTCTCACCGCCGACGCTGCGGCAGCGCACTTTCCTTGGCATATCTTGTCAAACTGCCAAGGGGCCGAGGCAGCTCGTAAATGCAGGCTGCACGATGGCGAAGCAGAGCAGGCAACAGAATTTCATCTGATCTACACAGACGCAGTCTGCGACAGTCCCAAGGACTGGCGGCGAAACCCTCATACTTATAGCCAGTGTCTGAGGGTGTTTCTGCATCTAGTACTGCAAGCACTTGGCACGACACGTTCGCTTTGGCAGCGTGCGCTCGGCTGCCATTCCACGACTGTCCTGCGGAGCTGCGACAGGCAGGCCGTCATGTTGAGATGAAGCTGGGGAGACTACGCTAATATGTATATATGCAAGCAGTCCTCGGGAGGCATCGAGGATGGCCTGGAAAGGCCTTGAGGCCCCTGCAATTCAGGGCAAGCGTGACTGTATGCGACTTTGGCTTTGCAAGGTAGTGGTTAACCGCACCACTGCTACTGAACAGAAAGGGCAAAGCCAACAGAAACAGCCCACAATCCCGGCCAATGTCACATTATATACAGCCTACAGCCGATACTGTACTGATGTCACGACTGTCAGCTGAGAACTGCAGCGCTTCTCACCTCTTCGGACCTGTGAGACCCTTCCACTCGCTTCTCGAGGCCTCCGTCGACATCATGTGTGAGGATGGCAAAAGACATGGGGGGCGAGATCTGAGCAGCGGTCAGGAGATGAACTTCTGCAAGCTTCCTCCTACATCCTCCTCTGGAAACAGAAGGTCCTTGACCTTGGGCAAAGGACATCAAACGTCGACCACAACTGCATGGAGCCGGGGTCTCAAAATCGATTGCCATTGGACATTCATGTAATTACACTGTGAGTGGGGACACTCGGTAGTCTTTCGCCGTGGGCTCTGAACCTCAAGATTCAAATGATCCACAGTGCACACGATGCACAAAAGCTTAGGTACAAGTGTCGTCGAAGCAGCTGATGCGGGCAAAGCAGCAGAACCACGTTCCACGAATCTTACTGCTCTCAACGCCACCGTGCAACCTTTGTTCCAAATCTCCTCCCAGCTCGCCCATCCCTGGAATCGAAAGCTCCAAGGAATCTGGCAGTCTACGATGCCACTCCATGCATGAAATCTGCAATGAGGCGACCACTCGGGCACTCGAGTTGTGTCCTGGAATGCATTGTTCCATGGGCTTCCGTCCGTGCCAGGTCGCCTCTTGATTCGTACAGTAGGACACCAGTTCTGCTACATCCACTGCCTGCAGCCAGGGGCGGAGGAGCAGGAATTTCCAGAGTCCTGGCCAGCGCCAGAAGTTGAAGCAAAGATCCGACTCTTGTTTTATTTTACACATCCTGAGCTGCCTGTGATTCGAAGCATGCAAATTGAGAGGTATCCTGTACTTGTTCATGAAGCCTTTCAGCCATCCGATTGCAGCATTGTCTTTGGCTGCCTGGCATGATGGGCGTCAGGCAGCTTAAAAGTGGCCACAGTTGCATGACGGCCGCCTCCATCCATGAATGCCCTGTTGCAAGGGCAGGGTCCAACCCGCATGTGCTTCGCACCTCTGCGGATGTCGTCGTGGCTGTCTTCGACACCATTTCCCTGACATAATGTGCCCAGCTGTGTGGCCTTGTTCGTCGAGGGCTGCTCTTCAGCGCCTGGCACACAGTTCCGTCACCACTTCGTCTAGCTGTCAACATGGCCTTCAATATCGTGAAGCTGAGACTCCTGGATGCCTTTACTTGGGGCACGCTGCCAAGGGGGATCTCATGTCACATGAATCATGCTCAAATCCAGATCATGCCCTGGGTACTCCCACCTCGTCGAGCCCAACGTCGTGTCGCAGCTTGCCTTCCGGTTTGGCTTTCAGCATTCACGAGTGAAGATTTAGCAAACCTGCCTGGGACTGCGATCCTCCAAGTATGAGGATGGTGACGGAGGCTCTCTGGCCTCTTCGAAGTCCTGACCCACTCTGTTCACTTTGATCTTTGACATCTTTGATCTCTGACCGCCCAGGTCTGAAATGACAAGCCGCTAAAAGATCTCTGCAGCTTACGACTTAGGAATGTATGCGGACAGCTGTCAACAGGTCTGAAGGCTCTGTCTTAATGTCCAGGAGGTCGGAATCAATCCCGGACGGGAACGCAAACATGGCATTTGCTAGCGCAGTGCTCTTTGGCACAGGTCACATCTGGATCGCGTCGCGATCGATAATTAGACTTTGCGTTGGGCCACCGGCTGCTGCCAGATTGATCTGCAGGTTCTGCCTAGTACCCCGGTTCGAGGAAGTATCGTAATGCCGATGACACATTAAATCAACCAAGCACGCACAGTGTTCAAAGTACTCAATCTGCTGGCCGTCTTAATCCTGCTCGATCACAACGAGTACCGATGCACCCCGACAGGCTGAGAATGCCGGGTAGAACTTCACGAAGGTTGTAGAAGTCTTCTACTCACTCTTGGCATGTCATGGCATGTCATGAGGAACGGCTGAGCTGCGCGCTGGAGAGATTGACACGCCATGCGAAATTGTCTTGTTGAGGACAACAGGAAGCGAAGTTGAAGATAACTCACCGAAGCCAATCCCAGGTATTTGGTAGACCTCTAGCGGACTCTATCGTCTTCGGCGGAGCTTGTTTGGGTCGCAAGGGTGGCTCACTGTACAAGCCTCCTTGCCTACGGATGCATGCAGCGAGAGCTTGGCAAAGTTTTCCACTCTGCGAAGCCAAAGCAGCAACAGCATGCAACAGCACTTTCCGCTTGAAGCTCGGTGAACGAAGACCTAACACGAATTGGCCAACTCGGCCAAAATCTCAGCATGGCATGCTAATGGCTTGCACCAGCAACCCAGTCGGTAACCTTTCAGCTCTCGCAGCTTCGTGTGAAGCGGTGCTCCGTCCTGTTGAAGCATGCAAACGTTAGCTGCAGCGCTGTGACTACAGTAGGGTCATGAAAGTCTGTGACCCCTGGGTTTCTTGTGCCCGACAGAAGTCAACCGGGAAAACCCACCATGTGCAGCAGTCCTGCGGATCTTTCAGCGTGCCATCAAGAAGGGCGGATCTGTACTTCGAGCATGCATCTTGGCGCGAAAATGATGCTCCCACTGCATATGGATTTTGCCATTTCGAACCAGGATAGTGAAAGATTCGCTTGCCTCCATCGTTATGAATGAATATTCTGCCGCGGCGTCCCACGTACACATTTCGGGAGTCTTTCAGCCATGTCTCGAAGTCCACGTATCCAGCGGATCGCAGCTCTGCGACCTTCACGGAGACTGCGACTGCTTGAGACCCATCTTCATCCGCCTTTCGGCTCTTGGAGCTCTTTACGCTCGACAGTTTCGTGGTAGCACCATCCACAGCGCTGGGACGCTTCATCCTTGAGCCCTGGACAGCTTCGATACGAGCAGGACAGTGGAAAATTCAGAATGCAATGCGCGATGGCCACCCCTTCAGAGCACCATGCATTGATGGAAATGTCTGTTCAACATCTTTGAAACTGGGTGCACCGAGTGACCGAGCACTGCCTGAAGGCAGTAAAATCTCGAATCAAGCCCACTAGCTGCCCGGAAGCCGGCAAACGCTATGTGGTCCCCACGGACAACAGGCATACCGTATCATAAAATCATGAAAAATTTGGCCATCGTTTTCTCCATATCCCCTGTCGTTTGCGGATCAAGCCTCTGTCTGCTCAAGATTGAGACCCTTCTTCGATAATTTTGAGGGCCAGTCACATTGACCACGACATTTCGAGGACCTCTAAAGCAGAGTTCCGATCTTCACAAGAACGACATGTTGTTGGGTCGTTCCGTGCTGTCTGCAACAAAGCAGGACTCCTACTCAACATCCTCAAGTCAACTAGAATCTGTAGGCATCTGTAGACTCTGCGCCTGCAACCTACTAGCAGCTTATGTGTCTCACGCTTTTTGTTCAACGAGTGCGACAGTCGCTACAATCCAGCGCCTCTCACCGCTGCCTTCGAAGGGGTACGTTAACGTCTGTACCTGTGAAACTTGACGCCAATAAATCTCAAAACTCTCGTTTCTCGATCAAGGTGCAGGTTAAGAACACCCTGCCACGAGCCTACACAGCACCGGCCCGACTGGTTTAGCTCTCCTTCTAGGGCTCATGGCGGGTTTAGGGCGCAGGGGTGCGGCTGCGTGAGCCCGAACACACACTCGCGCACCCTCGACAAAATCGGTGTCTGCGTGCACTCGAAGCGGCGCCCGGCAGCACTGCACAACGCATTAAGGCCGGCACCCAGTCGGGGAACACGTATAATTGGCCCACGCGCAGCTCCTTGTCGGGCTGCGCGGGTAACAACAGCAACTCCAAGCCGAGCAGGTGCCAGCTGTTGGTCTGGGTGCCAGACCAGCTGGATGATGCCAGGCTGCACCAAGTCGTCCTTGTCGGTTGTGCGATCCTGGGAGCGCTGCGACTTCAGGCGGCTCTGGCTCACTGCATCCTACTGCCCCATGTCTCAGCCAGGCCGCACCCTTCCAAATGAGATTGTGAAGGCCGTCATGAAAGCCATAGGATCCCTTTGATGGCCTGCGATGACATGAAGATCGACGCTCAGACCCCAGAGCATTGCCACGGCACTCAACAACCCGTAGACTGCAGAACGTGCAACCAGCCCCTCACAAAAGCCTGTCTTCACCTGTGACCCGAGCTTTGCACCTTTCATGATTCTCGCAGCTCAAGGAAGGCGGAAGGACGATGTCCATGATGCACCTGCGAGCGGAGGCAGGGCAGCTGTGCCACAGCACTGAGGGTGTGACTCGGGTCTTGACGAGAAGCCGTGTCGGGACTTGAGGTTCCGGTGTGCCCTTAGCTTCGGAGCGGTCGAAACTGGTCGTGCGGAGCAACAAACTCTTGGTCACCTACGTGACTGGGCTGTAATCTCCCTGTTGCTGGGCCACACCCCAGACCTGACACAGCTCGGCAGCTCGGCAGCTCGGCTCGGCGCTCAGCTCTGCACCTGGTCCAGCTCCAAGCTGACATCTCGGCTGCCACGCAAGGCCGCTGCCAAGATGCGGCACAGATCGAACCTCCCATGGTGAACATGCCCTTCACTCGCTTAATTGCGATGGTCTATGGCTGAGTGGAGCACAAGCAAGCTTGGAAGTCTCGGTCAAGGCCTGACTGTGCAACCAAGTCCAGCTTCACCACGTCCACGCACACAACATGCTCAGGGAACGACGCTGAAGTGTAACGCGCCTCGACTAGCTGCCGGTAAGGGAAGACAGTATTCATCCGTCAAGCTGCACCCAGCCTTGTGCTCCCGTGCTTCGAGCCTGACCGCACGGCTGCTTCGAATTGCTCCTGGAGCTTTGCAACCACCGCCTCGGCCGAGTCTGCATGCTGTTGTAAGCTGTCTCGCATGCCATCAGCCTCGGGAACCGCAGCCCGAGCAATGGAAGAGTAGACATACCTCACATGTGAGGCAATGCAAGGGGTATCCACTGCATTCGCCAATCCCACAGTCAACGCACCTTGGGCGACAGCTCCGAGCCCAAGAACGCCACTATTAGCGAAGTCAACAAAACTACTGGGGCTGCGAGACGCGAATCTTTGCATACCAAGAGCAACCGCACTGAGCCATTCGCGGCCAAAGCTCGCAAGGCAATGAGACAGCCTGGCAGACTACGAGCTGGCTGCGTAAATGCAGCTCCCGACGGTCAGATGATCTAGATGTTAGCAGGCGTTCATTCCGGAGTGTCCAGGCCTCTGAAGAAAGTGCACATCGCTGCCTCGCAAGTGCACAGATTTGGCAGCTAGACTATGCTCTTGTCCGGCAACCTAGACCAACATGCCCATGCAACTCTCCTTCCAAGGAAGCTGCAGCAAACCAGCTGCCGAAACTAGGGGCACCTTCGGCCAAACTTGCGCGCAGAAGAGTCGCACGAGTAAGATGCTGCAAGCAAGGGAAGCACGGGAGGGACTGGACCTCCACATCCTGAGCTGACGTCGTACCGGCCTCTGGTGCCGGGTCCAATTCAAAACATTGGACATTGCCTCCGAACTCCTCTCCGCACCTTCTTGGCGGACTCCAGCTTCCGTAGTTCGGAGGCCTCAGAACCGACAAGACCCTCCTCGGCTCCTCAGCGAGTGGCTTGACATGGCTTGACACTATCCTGGCCTCGTCCTCCAATGCACGCAGCTTGGCCTCTGCCGCCTTTTGCCGCCGCCGTGCCTGTGACTGCTAAATGACTCGAAAAAACACAGCTGAAGTCCCCCCTCCACCTGGGCGAGCTCAGCTCGGAGAAGTTCCATCTGCTGGCACGCAGCGGTGGCGATAGGATATGTACGCACAGATTCTCTTTATGCTCGGCTTGGGAATGGCTGACCACTGACTCAAGCAGAGAGTCCTCCCAATATGTACCGCATGCTCAACGTGCGTGACCAAACAGATGACAGTCCAAGCAGATCACTACATGCCATTGGTCACAAATACACTCAAAACACGGTCGAAGTCCATCCAGCTCTGTTGCAGGTGTCGCTCGCTGGGATGGAACGGGGAATGGACTTGTTCTTGTGGTGCGTGCAGCATGCGAAGAGTGCTTTTGAAATGACATGAGGAATGAATTCGGAATGATCATCGCCGTTTGGCGATACATGCATGGGTTATCTTCAGCGACGAAAGGCCGCTCTGCAGCCTGCAGCCATGAGCCAGTGGCCAATGTACAGTGACCAACACGACGGCATTCGGACAGCAGCATGAAAGGCGGCCAAGGCCTCAGAATCCAGCCACATACCTTGCTGACCAATGCCGCATCTGCCACGATCTCACCATGCTGCCACTCGAGGTGGGTGACACACTGTGAAGTTCGTCGATTCTCGGAGTTGCAGACAAAACATGGCACGATGCGAGATAGCTGGTTCATGAGGGTTGGGCATCGTAAGCAGGATCTGCCATGCCATCTGGAAGTAGAATTTGACCCGTGTCGGCACCGTGCCCACAGCATCAACGAGAGATATTGAGAGATACTCCCATCTCATGGTGACAGGCTCAACCCGCACTGCCAGTAAGACCATACTCGTCTCATGACCCTCGGCACGGATTCCTCTTTTGCCCATGGACCCAGATGTTTCAGCGGCTCTTTCATAGCTGTCCAAAGCTTTTCCGTCGAAGCACGACGTCGATTGTTTCCTGTGCCGAAAGGCCACCGCGAAAAGCTTCCCTTCACGAAAAAAGCTGCAGGCGCGTGCACGCAGCCACAGATGGGCTTCTCAAGCGAAGGCAGGTGGGTAGCTGGCAATCAACTTGCCCGCTGACGCTCCAGCCGAACATCCCGAAGAAAGCTTTGAGAACAGGCATGACTCGTGCTTTCCCTCGTGAACTTGCCTGTCATTGTAAGAGATGCCCCGTCGACGGTGCAATTCGGCATTCCAACCCAAGAGAAAGCCGCTTGAGAGAACCAGGATCATCACCGACGAGCAAGCCAGGCCTGGAAAGAGTACCAGGTTACCACATGGTACCGCTATCAACGCTATCAACGCATTAAAGCTCGGCAGCTCGGCCACGCTGAGAGCAGGGCGAGATGAGGATTGCCAGGAGCACTGAGGAAGCTCAAAGGCCTGAGTCTCGGGATGCAAAACAAAATTGCACGCAACTCCTTGGCTTTTAAGCGGAATTTGAGCATCTCGCACACTGCCCTTCACGACAGCTCCTTGTGTTGGCGCGCGCTCTAAAGCCTGGGAGAGCTCCTGGGCAAGCCCGGATCAAGTCGGCTTGCAATGCTCCTGAAGTCCTCTGGTGATGGCGGCGCGACATGCTGGAGTGCCGGAGGTGGAGGAAGATCTTGGAACCTCAAGAAGGAGCACGAAGGACTCTTTCCATGTTGTGCTTTCGTTGAGATAGCTCTGGGGAGCGTAGCGGGCGGGGTTGGATCAGAAGCACGGCGTCTTGAATAAGTGGAGGAAGGCAATTCCGTCCCTGCCTTTACCTATTCCCCTCGCGTTTTGCACGCTGCTTAGGCATACAGGGTCTGATAGACTTGTAGACCTATTGTAACTTACTTGACGTACCCAACACATGAAGTCTTGTGCATTTAGTTTGGTGCCAATATCGTTATAGTTGAGTGAAAGGAGGTTGGGCACCCACAGTCTATCTGGCCCCTGATACACAAATCTCACAGTCTCGCCCCTGCATCCTCCGCACTCCGACCTATTCCCCGTGTAAGAACCCAGTAATATCCAATGCAGCTTATCTCCCGCAAAAGACTCTGTTACTGATGTTACTGAATCAGAAACTGCAGATATCACGCAGCCCCTGCCTCGGCTGCCGCGGCGGCCCGTAACGCTGCGCTATGACGTCTGGAATCTCCTTGGCTGCCCCGACAATGCTACAAGATCAGGTGCCTCCTTATGCCCGTGAAAATTAGGCAGGGGCTTGGCCATGCGCTTGAAGCACCTGCTCCAGGTGCTGCATTCCTGGCGCAACGGCCCGATGCTCCCAAACCGAAACACATCAGATTTCCTGGCTGCCTGTCACCTTGAATTCAACTGCACATGCAGGATGTCCCTGCACGGAGGGTTGCGGCGGCAGTGTATAGCCGGGAGCGATCGGAAGCTGCATGGTCCTTGAAGATTTCTGAGCACATGAGCAGCGATTCGATGTGGCACGGAAGAAGTTAAAGCCGTTCTGCAGCCGTTCACGCTTCGAGTCAAGGCAGGGCGCGTATGCTTCGATCTTGCTCCCGCTGGGCCCACAGGGCTGCCATCCAGTGCAGCCGCCTTGCTTTGCAGGTGCAGGGTCTGAGTCTGCACCGTGTTTCGACTCAAAACATATTTAGTACTGGGGCTCAAGCTTTCGGGTGGAGCGGCCGCGGCATGGCTCCCTCCTGCATGGGCATGGGGTGCTCCGCGATCTCGAAGGCAGAGGCCTGAAGTGACGCTGTGATGCCCTTTTTTGGCTGTGCCTGCCTGAAAAGGAGCCAAAAAAAGACTCTGAGGAGGGAGCAGCAACATTGCCGCCTACCTGCAAGGGCTGTGGATTTTCGAGGAATGTCGTGGCCGCAAGCACCTTCGGGCCACCTGTGCGAAGCTCAGGAAAATTTCAGACTCGCCGTGCCGCTTCATGTCGATCAGCCTGGACAGAAAACGTGTAGAAGCACCACTGGATCATTCATTGACACCTACAACTTGGAGAATAGAAGCAAGAGCTTCGCATGGGTATCACATCAACTCACATCAACTTGGGACAGGCAAGTGGGTTGCTCGGAATCATTCACAATCGGTGCCAGGCAGTCAAGGCTCTATTCAACATGCTTTTCTTGTCCCATTCGCTGATTGTTCTTGAGCCTGGACGGAGTTGGGTGCCCACTTCAGGACTGTGACCGTGATTCGGAATTCGCTCCGACGAAGCCGTTGCAGCACCTCAAGCAGTTTACTCCGTGTTGTGGTATGACACACAGAGTGTGCAGTATGAGGGCTGTTTAGGGGGCGCATCTCCAGGACAGCTCTCGGATATGCACGATATACCGCCTGCCCATGTTTGACTGCCAGAGCCCCAGCTTTTGCATCAAGGGTTCATAGTCCTTCTGTTCTTGGCCCTCTGGGTTGTGTACGTTCAGACCTCGATGCCGAGCGTGATCAAGGAAAGCCCAGACATTCTTCTCGTCCGTGTTCGGATGCAGGGAAAAAGCTATGATAGCACGACCATGAGTCGCCATTACATGACAGATGCTATCCAGCAATGGCTGATGAAAAGCCGGATTATACACACAGTCGGCAATCACCAGGAAATCGAACGCTAAGCCCTCACATTCGTCATCCAGAAAGCGCATGGTCCCGGAGCTGTCCACTTCTCCCCAGTTGTGTGGAGCCACGCGAAGCAGATGCGAGTAAGGATGCCGCACTGCGGAGAAGAGGATTTGGCGAATGTTATGGTATGATCGAGCATCCGTGACGTAGACTTGCTTGCTGAGAGAAGCCGTTAGACTCTTGTCGGAAATCGCACGCTCATCAGTGTGCTGCAGGTCGCCTAACTTTTGCGCCAGGAAGAGGGATGGAATCCCAATGCCAGCGCCAAACTCTATGACGCGAATCTTGCGGAAATCCACGGAATGCATGCTAGACCCTTCGCGAAAAGAGTTGGCAAGAGTGAGCAGCTTCCCGACATGCAGCGCAGCAGCAACAGAGGCCGCCCAAATTGCATTTCCATGAGCAGTAGCACAGGAGGAACGGGTGTACTGGACACGCACCTTGGTCTCTTCTCCATCCGGTATTTCGATAGTTTCAAAGCTGCCTGTCAGCCTGCTACCTTCTTCCAGAGGTCGTTCCTGTGCGACATGTTCGGTGTCATCCCAATCTATCAGAAAGGCAGTGCACTCCGCTATCTCTGCAGCTTCCTCTAGCTCCTTGTCGAACAAAGGCTTAAACCAATCCAAGGTCTTCTGCGAGATCAGCTGCTCAGAGCAAATTTGCTGCAACACGTCCATGCGCCATGCGCTGGGTCCCGGAAGAGAGGGGATCAAATCTTCTCGCCAACCAACGCTGCAACCAATGTGAACACAGCGGCACTCCGATGAATCGCGTCCCGGCTTTCTCGTTTCTAAAAGTAAGTGTCGGGCCGCTTCATTGTCCACTTCCGCCTTGGCGGTTTTGGAGTGATGCGATAATCAAAATTGCACAACCAAGCACCTTCGGTGCCAAATAAAAATTGCAGGCTTGTCGACAGGTTAAGGATTGGGCTCCACTGACCCCTGCGCAAGCTTCAGCGCCTGCAAATTACATCAGCATACTCTAGTCCGCCAGACAAGCAGCGGGCGAATCCTATCAACAACAGTCATTCTTCAACTGCACAGCCGGTCTGTGCGCGCATGGAGCCTCGGGCAGTTCCATTACCAGCTCCGCTAGCTCGTCCCAAGCCCTTTGGCAGCCATGCTTTGTTCGTATTGTTTCGCATCCTCCTCTGCCCACCCGTCCTTGTCACGCCGAGGGCTTCCGAGCAGACGACGACACGCAAGAAGAGCCCAGGCCTTGGTCATCCTCTCTACATGCCAGTACAGAGCGGGCTGAGCATCTGCGTTCTGAAAGTTCTCTGAGCCCGCGGGCTCAGGCACCAGCTTGAGGACCATAGGCTGTGTCCAATGTGGATCTGCATGGCAATTGGTCAGAGTCTCGGTCCTCAGTCACGTTGCAAGCAAGCATGTCAGCGACTTTGCTCGACTGCCAGGAGCTTGGCTGTGCAATGGCGACTTTGGCACTGCGTCCGATGCTGCCGAGTCGTGGATCGCGGCTATGAACCTCAGCAAAGATCTCAGGCATCTTCACGCCACTCCTCCTTCAGCCGTCGTTTACCGGGATCCACGCGCTCGCCTCCACGAAAGGATTGAAACTCCAAGCCTGCCGGATGATCGGATGATGTATGTGGCAGAGTTGTCAACTGGTCCACCCCTTCCAACTCACCCTGATTTGCGGTGGAGTTTCGGAAATGTTGAAGCGAAAGCCTAACGACTCTGCTCCTCAGATCACTTCCTTGCAGCGCAGTCCTGCTTTGCTGTGCATCCTGGACCATGTAATAATTCTGCAAAATTTGTTGCGTTGCTTTGCAAGGATCATGACCTGCCGACCCAAACATCCTTTCTGCAAGCGAGTCCGTCATTTCTGTCGGAAGGCCTCTGCATGCTACTGGTTGGGCCTAGGGAAGACCCTGTGCCACAACGTAAACCCGCGGAGAGGCACGCGCGGGGATAAAGCCAAATTCAATTTTCAGAAAGCATAAGCCATAAGCATGCATGGTCAGTTGAAGTGAAGCAGATCCTTCAGACCTCCAAGAATACGACCCCACTCCGCGAGATAAAAATGACATGCCGTACGCGAATCTCTTCCGCTGGCACCCCGAGGCTCTTGCAACTGGGACCGAATGGCATCAAAGATCAGGGTGGCTGGACGCAACATGAGCACTGCCCAGTCTACACCAGCCTCGCTCTTCGGCGCAAGGCAGGTTGCCGAAGAGGCCGTGATGCTCAAGCACGCCTATGTGCATCACTGTGCGTTGAAGAACGGCCGAACCCGACATGCTGTGACCAGCAGAAGTGCAAACGCCCGCCTCTGGCATTACTGTGGCAAAGTGCATGCTGACCTCTGCGTTGGTACCTTCTGTCTTGCACTGGCGGATCTTGTGCCCCGAATTTCTTGAAACCGCGCTTTGCAATTCACGTGAACGACAGGCTGCTATTTGTTCCTTGTGCTCAGATGCAAGCCATTGCCTGATCCGTCTAAACATCGAAGCTCCAGTCGTTGGGATCTGCCAACAGCAGCCACCATTGCCTCCGAGAGCAGCGCTCCACCACACGACAAGACTTCGGCACATAAGCTCGGCCGAGTATGTCAGACGCTTTGGGTTCCTCAAGGTCCCCACTTCTCCGCAATATACACGCGAACACTAGTGAAACGGGGCCTATGGCATGCATAACTACTGTGGATGGATGTCACATATTTGCGTTTCGTCGTCAATTCCGGTCTGGCTCTCGGTGTTTGGAACAGCCCCAACAGCTTTGACCTGCCACCCCAGTTAAATGGACAAGTGGCATTCAATCGATTGCGTGAGGTCGATTCATGTCGAATCAGCCACGTGCCAAGTCCGGAAAGCGTTTAGCACCTAAAGCACCAGAGAAGGACGTGGAGGGAACCAAGCGACAACAACAGCATGTGCATCTGCATAGTCTTCGCTCACGATCACATGCGGACACCATCTTCCAGCATCACCAAAAGCGCTATGCGACCCCGCACTTCTGCTGAGAGGCTTGGCAGTCGCAGATCGTTATGAGAAACCTATGGGCCGATCGAAATTTCATGGATTTATGATTCATGGTTAGCTGATGACTGGTACTGGGTAGCTAAAATTAACAATGCAGTGTTGGGGTTTCGGTCTGAGGCGCAAGGCTTTAGTTTGAGCTATTCACAGCATTGACAATATGAGCAACATAATAATACTAAGAAGATTACAGACAGCGACAACACGAAACGGACTTAGAGACTGTGATTACTCAACACAAGAAACACAACCATCACTGGACCCTCCAAGCAACCCTCCCTGCCGACAGCGATCCCTGCACAGCAGGACTAGTGACTAGGTCAGACAGTGCGATTTCGCCGGATGGGAAAGTGGGCGCTTTGCACTGCATTCGGCTTTTGGGCTCAGACTGGCTGAGCCGCATATCGAGTGGTGTACTCAAAGAGAATTCAAAGCGCCTAACGACAACTTCAACCACAACCACGACGACCACGACGATGACGCCGACGACGACGGTGACGACGATGGCAAACGTAGCAACAACGAGTTCTGGCATACCGGGGCATGCCGCAGGCCTCAAATCGACACACTCAACGCGGCGGCCCACGCCTCCGCGGTGAACACCACCACCAACAGCAACAACAACAACAGCAGCAGCAGCAACAATACCAACACCAACACAAACACCAACACCTCCACCACCTCCACCACCACCATCACCACCATCACCACCGCCGCCGCCAGCACCACCACCACTACCGCCACCAACAACCACAAACCCAACACCAGCAGGAGCAGCGACGGCAGCAGCGGCCAGCGACGGCACTGCGAGTCTAGGGTCGCCTTGCCAGTGGAGGCTGCACATCGCGGACTGGAATCGTAGCGAACCCATTACAAAAAGAGCATGTGTCGGTAAACACATCATATCATATCGTCACCAAGGTGTTGTACAAGGAGCAGACAGAGCACTCCGCTGCACAAGCCTTCGCAACGCCTGGGGACATTACAAAACCTTTGGTGCAGCACGCCTGTGGCAGCTTCTCCTTCAGCTCTGCGAAAATCTCCTCACTGAATCCCATTCCTGTTCGAATTACCTGCGCACTCCACTGAAGCTCTTTAAGGCTGGGAGTTATACTCATGGCTCAGGCGCTGCTGGACTTTTTGCCTGGATCGTGCTTTACGCACCATTTCCAGAAGCTTTCAGCCCCACACCCGGCCCACGCACCCTGCGCCCATAAAGAGCAAGGGACTAGACCTGCAAGATGCTGGAACCCTATAGGCACCGGGGGACCTTTGCCAGTCTATCTGGAGGCTTCAGGCCTGAATTAAGTCAGATTTTGGTGTTGCCTGAACCCTCCAGGTGTCCGGCTAAGCTAAGATTGAAACGAGCGCCCCGTTCCCGGAACAGACAGGCTGTGTGGAAACACTCCAGGTCTCAAGGCGCTTGAAAAGGCATTTGGGAGTTTCCGAAAATTAGGGTACTCTATTTTGGGTCCTTTATAATAAGATAAGGATCCTACTATTCAGGATACTATATTAGGGTCCCCTATTTTCGGAAACCCCCATTTAGAATGGACGAGGGCGTCTTGAGGGTCTGTGGCGGTCCCAATTTTGCGCCCCCCAGCCGTTCAAAACTACTGTGTGGCTTCTTCCGATCACTTCTTGGTTGCTACGAACATGCCCTGGATGATCTTACCTTCCTTGGCCAACTTCGCCATAAACTCGAAGTCCGAAATTAGCTTCTCGTATGCCTTCTCGTCCCAGCCCAGGAGCTTCTTGGCATCGTAGACGGCCTGGTACTTCAGCATGTAAGTGTAGCAGTCCATGGCTGGCGAAAAGTGGCCGCTATTCTGGGCAACCTGCACCGTGCAACCGGCCTTCTCCAACATCGCGGCATACTCTTGCACCGTCGGAATAGCGGGGAAGGTCATGAGGCCCAGGAAGCGCTGCGCCTCCTCCTCCGAGAGGTTCTCACCCTCCATCCAATCGGTGAAGAAGATCTTGCCTCCTGGCTTAACGATGCGCGCAGCCTGATCCACGATGAGCTGCTTGTTGGGCATGTAGCACCAAGCATCCTTGCTGTAGACGAAGTCCGCCGAGGCATCCGGAAGGCCGTTCTCCAAGGAGTTCGCGTGGATGAAGCTGATCTTCCCATCGAGGCCTTCCTCTTTCGTGCGGACACGGCCGGTCTCCACCACGGACTTCGTCAGGTCGACGCCCACCATCTGGTCAACGCCGCAAAGGCGCACCAGGCAGCGCATGCCGCCGCCGTTGTTGCAGTTCAGGTCCACACCCTTCATGCCTAGGCCGACACCGGCTTTTTCGGCAACTTCCATCGTCGAGGAAGCCCCGCCAATGTCGATTTGCTTGCCCATGACGAGCTCCCAAACACTCCTGAAGCTCATACTCTTCACTCTTCACTCTTCATACTTCAGAAGCTGCGACTATCACGAAAACTTTGCGGAAACATCATGAACCGTTCCCCAAGTCGCTGCTCTGGACCACTGTAGCACTCGGCGACCTTGTCGAAGCTGGCGGCACCCTGGTCGGCAAGGAGCTTCATAGCTTCGGACGAGCTGGGTCCGTCCTTGGACGAAGCGGAGCTATGCGATCGGGCCAAATGCTCGAGCCAGATGCACAGCGCAAGGATGCGGGGCCGCACGGTCGGGGGCACCGTGGTGGGGGCAGCCGTCCCACCTCAGGCGAAAAGCGAGCCCGAGAAAGCTCTTTAAGGGCCGGGGGTTATACTTCTGGCTCACGAGGTCTTTCTGCTCAAGCAACTGCATACTGAGGCATACTGTCCATAAACCGCCTGGCAGTTGAAAGCCATGTCGCCCTCGTCCTCAGATCGAGTTCGGCTGTCCGGAGAGGTTCAGGATGGTTCAAGACTCATGCTCCATTAGGTGATTCGGGATTCGCTCCAAGCTGTCACGGTGCAGAGCTGTTTCAACTTGCTCCACGATTTTAGGCCGAGTGCTGCCGCCAGCATAGGCAAGCCGCAGTTCGCAAAGAGTCCACTCGAGGCGCTTGCGAGATCTGCCCATGGGGCAGAGAAAGCTGAGCACACGACATCCCAGTCCAAGTTCACCGAGCTGTGATAGATCGGATCGGGGCCTGAAAGCTGAGACAGAACAACCGTTTTCAAATGCGAAAACGCACCGAGGGCCTCGCCACTTTGAGGATCTGATCGGCCACGTGCCTTATTCGATGATCCAATTCTGACACGCTGCCGTTTGAAGTACAGTCTGTTCACCATCCTATTGTTCACCAGCAAGAAGCTAGAATGCAACCATCCCCGTGGTTCGCAAGTAGCGCAACTTCGATCACGAAAGTGTCCTTCAAGAAACCGCATCTCTGGCTGCAGGTAGAAGAGCAGAGACTGTAATCTGGGTGGATTTCCAGCCTCTGGCAGAGCCTCCGCCCGGATCACGTGGCAGAAACAGTGAAGGCCTCTGCACAACTGGAAATTCCATCCTCCCCAATGGGATCTGATCGGTTTTGGCGTCTGTGGTCTCTGCTCGGTCGTGGTCCACCAAACTGTGCGACCAGTACCACCGGAGGACCTCAGCCAGCGACTTGTGATCCAGGTGCCTCGACTCCTTGATGGCCCTTGCTTATTTTGACCTTTGACAGGTCCACCGAGAAGGGCTGCATCGTGAAGCGACCTTGGAACGGGACAGGCGCCGTGCCAGATCTATGGATCACATAACCAATGTTCGTCTCTTGTGTGGGACGGCTTTTTTCTGCTCGCGAGGCAGGCACGCAGTCGCAGACGGCGACATGTCCACCGATGTACGCAACGAGAGCTTGGCAGAGGAGTTTTCCACTTTGTCAAGCTCAGAGCTGCGCTACATCTGAAGCGCTTGCCGCTTGCAGGTGAAAAGAGGAGCCAACTCGGCCAGTATGTCAGAATGTCATGCTAGCTTGCACCAGCAAAGCTTCTTGCTTGGCAGCTGCTCACTGTTCGGAGAGGCAAGATTCTGCGACGCCTGCACTTGGTGAGACTGTGTCCTGGTGAGACGATCCTGCCCGAGAAAAAGGAAGGGAAGAGAGAGAGGAGGGAGACGACGGAAAGGAGGGAGAGCAAAGAAAACTCCCCGCAAAGACGTGGGCTCAGCGGACGGCCTCGGCCAACCTACGCGTTGCAAGGCGCGAACCCAGGCACCGCTCGCTGCGCATGCTACGCGCCTAGCTTCTTCCACCGGCGCGTCCGTGTGTGGCACCCCTGTCTTTCTGTCGATGTAGATGTCGAACACCTTTCGCACGATTTCGTGATGTGGCTGTACTATTGGCAGAAGTCACTGATTCCAGCAACTTGTTGGGAGCCAACCTGCCTTGTGATCTCTGGCATGAGCTTCATCGTCAGTGGTGTCTTCCACTACCTTGCGCTCCTGTCGTAGAGGTGGAGACCGGTACATGACCTGCTTGCCAGCCTTAGTGGGGTTTCACGTCGAGGTATCCGTCTGCATCTCTTACAGCTCGCCAAGCGCACTCAAGTCTGAGTGAGAAGCTTTCTTGAAGACGGGTTTTTGAGAGCGTTGCAGCGACTGCTTCAATCGATCCTCTTGCTTTTCTGACTGCTCCTTGAGTCGATTCTCTCGAACCTTATAGAGTCGCGTCCAAGGAAGCAGGGCGAGGGGGATGCAGGGGAAGTTCCGGAGGAAGGCTTACGAAGCTCGGAGCCAAGCTCTCTCGCGCCAATCGCCTTCTTTGATCTTCTCCAGCCGCATTACCAAGTCTTCGTCCTCCAACGGCCCAGCACGGACCACAATAAGGACTCTGGGCAGAACCATAGGCCCATAGGCATGACAGCGGAGTCCTGCTGATAGACCTCATCAAGACCTTGAATCAACTCCTCAATCCGCGATTCAATGGCCCCGAGCATCTGCAGCGTATCCGGCTGCTGCTGATCCCTTGCTAGATTGCACCTTGCATATACTTCATGTACCTCCAGGCAGCACGTGCAAGGACGGCAAAGAACAGCTCTGTGAAGCGGTTGCCTTCTTTGCCAAGGAGCTCAATTTCTTGTCCTGGACCGAGGGGCTTTCAAAGGAGCCGCCATGATTTGCAGACAGTAAACCCAAAATGAAACTGCCCCTTCAACTTCACCGCTGTGGGAAAGCTCCTGCATCGCTGTACTGGCTTTCTCCACTTGGCTTTGCTTTATCTCTTCACCCCTTCTCTGCTCCTCACTGCACACTCTGTTTCGCCTCTTGTGGGCCAGCTCCTACATGCCGGACCTGCTTGATACTGTGCTCCAACTGCTTGACTTGGTCGTTCAACTGCTGCACCTGCTCAAACGGCAGGAGAATACCATCAGGCCGACAACCTTCAGCATCGTGTAAGGCCACCAAGTACTTGAGCCAGGCGCGGAGCATGGAATTTTCAGTCGGAAGGCTGTCATCAAGTGCTCACGAATATTCCGAATATCATATCGAGAAAGATCTGCGGTGTGAAGTCTGGAATGCAGCCGAGACAGACTCTCAGAGTCAACAGAAGAATAGGCTTCTTGCAGGGATTGTCAAACTCAAAGCATGTGGTCCCCCGCTTGACCACCGACGCAGGCATGTGCACTGCTCGAACCCCAGAACATGCTTCCAAGAATCCTTGTGACCCATGTTCTTCTTCATGGCTTCAAAGCTGCTGCGCATGTCATCCAGCTGCTGCTCGGCTTCCTTTCAAGGCGCTCTCGCTCGGAGTTTTTCTCTGAAGGCTCAGCATGAGAAGCAACCTGAGAGCTCTGGATGAGGAAAAGGTTCAGCTCTTCCAGATCTGTGAAGCTGTCCATGAGCTGCTGGGGCTCCTGCACAAAGACCCCCAGCCCCGAGCAAGCAGACTTGCGAACAGCGTACGTCCTTGAAGAAGAGCTCTGGCTCCTCTTCTGACGAAACAGCCACATACCTAGTTGATCACCCGTGTAATTCAAAAGGCTAATTCCAGAAAATCCGCAGCCTTATCGGCTGTCAGGATCTTGAACCCATCAACCTGTTCGCAGCTGGGTCCCATGCTCCGCATTGACTTTCCTCTCTTCCTCCTGTACACTTGCATGCGCCGTCCGTGCAGGTCAATGACAATGGCCCGGGGCCGGTATTGCCTCTCTTCGCTTCTGAATACGCTTGCGGCGACTGTCTCGCTCGCGCTGTCGCTGCAGAAACTCCTCCTGAGACCAAGGAGGTGACAATAGCAATGCGGGGTTGGGCCATCCAAAACCATTACATGTACCATCCAGCCATTGATGCATCTGTTTCATGCTGCCTCGTCTTCTCTTCGTCGCTGTTTTTTGCCACGCTTCTTTGAAGCTTCGGCCTTAATCATGCCGGCCATCAAGCCCACTAGCAGTGTCTGATCTGAATCTAAAAACTGTGTGTTTGTTTGAAACTTGTGTTTACGCACTTTCACGGGTGATTGCGCCCAAACTAGTGATATCTCGGCTTGAAGCTGCGACGACTGTGGTTGCATTCCTTTCATCGACCGAAAACAGCCCCCAAAGCACTAGCCGAAAAAGTGCCTGAACAAAGCCCAGCCATCTGCGACAACTTTAATTGAGTTCAGCAACATCACTGCCAATCATATTTTCATAGAGACGTTGGTCTAGAATTGTCTTGCTTCTGTCGCAGACATCCCTGTCGGTACGAGTAATGACAAATGCGGCTGTTCCACTCATGTGGCTGTTGGCGTCGCAATCACGTACCAGTACTAGTCTCGTCCAGATCGTCATAGCTAGGCCTGCTACTCCGATAGTTAATGATGCTGAGGATGAGGATGAGGAGGAGGAAAAGGAGGAGGCAGGGGAGTTGGGGTGTCAATTGCAAATTCTAACATAGCAGTCGCCTCCTCCTCCTGGGCGATCTTGTCAAGCTTCTCTTCCTCCTGCGCTAGTTGCTCCATTATCGGGGCGAGACGTTCCTTTTTCCACCTGCGACGCTGGGTGAATCGATGACACGTGCCAAGGTCAAAAGGGAGCCTTTCTGCTCTGTCTTTTTTCCTTTGTTCCTTCTTGCGCTTCCTGAAGTACAGCGACACATGTCTGTGTCATCACTTGGGCAGATTCTCCACAAAGCTTTCCTGCACGAAGCTGAGGACTCAGCTGCTCCTCTTTCCATTCTGGCGGAGTAATCTTCTCCAAAAACATCTTGTATCTTTCGCACTCCACCCTTACCTGCAGTTGCAAAGCCGCCATCGCAACAGGCTTTTGCCCTCGCCCACTTGCTCCGGGCCTCCTTCAACTTGCTCGTGTCACTTTGTACAGCAGCGATCTGCTGCTTCAGGTTTTTTATTCTCGCGACCTTGTCCTGCTTTACCTTCGCGTGGTGATCACTTTCCTTCGTCGCCTCGGAAGCTTTCGCGATTCTTGCCTGCCAATCAAATCAACGGTCGCTCGACTTTCCTGACCATCCGGCAGTTGCACGCAGTATTCCCAGCAGATCCTGGAGGTAGTCTTCGATTTTCTTGGCGTCGTCGTCCAGAGTTTGCTGCGAAATGGCCAATGCATCTTCCTTCGCCTTTGCCATCGCATCTAAACGCACCTCGGATCACAGAAGCCCTGAAAAAGGCCGCGGCCGCTGTGGCCGATCTCCATAGTCTTAAGAGAACGAATCCTTCAGTTATTGGGATGTCTGAAAAAGATTTAAAACAAAACACAAACAAAGAAGAAACACATAAATGACATGAATCAGGCCAGCAGTCCAAAAAAACAAAGCAGAAACAAAAAATAAACAACAAAAACAAAAAAATCACGCAAACTGAAGTACTCATCCAAGAAACATAGTAGCAGCAGTAGGAGTAGCAGCAGCAGCAGCAGCAGCAGCAGTTGTTGTTGTTGTTGTAAAGTTGTAATTGTAGTTGTAGCTGTAGTTGTTGCTGTGGTAGTGGTGGTAGTAGCCGTAGCCCGTAGCACTCCCTCCCCCCTCACCTCCCCTCCCCTCCCTCCCCCTCTCCCTCCCCCTTCCCACACAGGGGGCCCCCTCCCCCTCCCTCCCTCCACCCACCTCCTCCTCCCAAACCCTTCAAAGCCTTCCTGGGAGCAGGTTGGTAAGGATCTTTTTTTCAAGCGAAAAATCTAGAAAAATCAGGTGGCTTTCGAGGCCCCTGGCCCCCTGCCCTCCCTCCCCTTGCCTCCCCCTCCCTCCACCCTCTTCCCTCTCCCTCCGGATGGGTGTTGACCGCCTACAAATAACAATCAGCTATTTCTTGCCTCACTGCAAAAAAAGGCGAGGTGTCGAGTGCAGCTCAGGTGTTGCAGACTTGCTCACGGCATCCTTTCCATCGTGCTGGTAACACAGATTCCGTCCCTTGCGGTACGTAGACGTAGACTCTCTATCTACCGTAGTATCTCCAAGAGTTTCGGGCTCTTAACCCTAGTCCCAAACTCACACTGAACTCAGGGTCCAGCAATCTCCTCTCGCTTGTTGTCGCACGCCATGTGAACAAGGAAAACCTCCCGCTTCTTCTGCACATACGTTCTGATGTCCTTTTCGCCTGCACGCGCACTTCAAGCTTCGGTCTTCCACAAGAAGCCGCACATCCTATCGGAGGACCTGAGAGGCTCCTATAGGAGCCTCTCAGGTCCTCGGATAACAAAATGGGGAGATGACTTTTGCGCAGCGGCTCGACGAGTCCAATTGCTGGCTTCGTGGCCACCGTCCTCGGTATAACGATTGCTTTGGGTTAAGGGTTTGGGGTTTCGTTCCCGTTCTTCAACTCGGCCCGACTAAGCCGTACTTCAGCGCCGCACGTGAGGAAGGTGTTGTCTGGCTGCTCGGTCTGCATCCATGCCCTGAGATACGGTGGCCACAGCTTTGCATTACACAAAGTCAGCGTGCCACACATATTCATGCGTGATATCGCGTGATTGAATACAGGCTCTTCTCCAGAAACCGACATGTCAATTAAAGATTCCAGATCTGTCGGCCATGCAGCCTACCCAGGTCATCGCAGCTCTGCGACCTTGACGGAGTCTTCGATCGCTTGCGTGGGCCCATCCCACGGCAGGAGCTTTCAGCTCTTGGAGCTCGCCTGTGCTCCGACCGGCGCTTTGGCGCCGTCTACAGCGCTGGGACGCTTCATCCTTGAGTGCTAGGCAGCCTGCGATAGAAGATTCTGGGGCCCTAGGGTAGCACCAGTGCAAATGGGAATGGACAGCGTGTGCAGTGTACAGGGCGAAGCGATAAATCGGAATCTTCAGCCTGGGGCCTGGGCTTACAGTCGGAGAGCGCATCATGTCCAACACCTGCTGCAAAAGCTGCCCAGTGTGTTTACATCAGAAGGAAGAGCTGACAGAGTTTTGACTGGATAGCATTCCTTGAGTCTTCAGAGCCCTCTGAGCAAAAAGTCAGGTCAGCCACATACCACGATGTTTGTCGAACTATGTTTTGCAGATTGCTGTTCATGCTAAAGTTGGCCAGCCTGCCTCCCCAAGCGTGACGACAAGCTCTGCAAGAGGACCCAAGCCGACGCCGAAGCGCGTGTCCGACAGAACCACATGGACATAAAGTCCCTTCCTCAGGCGTGATTTGGGTTGATGCAGAACGCTTGGAGTGGCGATGCTTGCACCATCGGAGAGCGACACAGTTGTTCTGAAGATAGCAATTTTTTCAATTCAGTTAATGGACACTGTCCAAGCTTTTTTCCACAGCAAGTCTTTAAGAGCTGCCAAGGACAGAGTACAAGGCCAAACGCCTGAGAGGTCCAATCCAAGCCGTGTCTTTTGACCAGATTGGGACATTTTCTCCCCCTTTTGATCCCGCTATTCGAGACCGTGGGGAGCGGCTGGCCGACCGACCCTGACTGTACACTTTTCAGCGTGGCCATGCCCAAGGCATTAACACATCAGACATCAGATGCTCAGGAGTTCGAGACACGTCGGATGTCTCGGGCGAAAAGGCTGCGACCAAGCTGAGACTGAGCGAGAGCCGCGATGATCATGCCCCGCAGCTTCCTGGTGTCCACGTTGTACATTTCGGAGGGCGGCTGCGAGGACGGGGGAGGCTTTGGCCAGTGCTCCTTCCTCTGAGGTCCCAGAGCTTGGACTTCGAGGCGCCACTGTTGCCTCAGAGTTGCCCATGCAAGCATCTGCATCGCCAGCAAAAAGCACGATTAGAAGGTCAAGGGGACCCAGACAGTAACATGAAGGAATGCTGCAGAGTTGCCACACTTTGTTCAACCTTTTGCACTCCACCAAGTAGGCACGATAATTTTCCTTCCAGCGGTGTAGGCTCTGAATGAAGAGAGTCTTAACGATGTCGTTCCTCGTCTCTATGTCGAGCCGGTAATGGTCCTAGGCAGCATGTGAAGTTCCACAAAGCTGTCCCGATAATCGGGATGACCATGCTTGTTCTGCTTGCTGTCTCCGGTAGCCAAGATGCCAGGACGTTGTTCGCAATCATCAGAGCCTGTCAGCTGCAGAACAAACCAAAATCCAGAGACAAGACCTGCGCCGCTTTCACTGTCGGTACAGTCGTCACACATGCATCGGTAGGAGATGTGACTGGTGGTAAACTGGGAACCAGCATCCGTCCTGCCTGCTGCTGTTTCCGCTCAGCAGATGTGGTGGGAATTGCCTCCCACATCTTCAGCAACATGCAAGACCGAACCCTGGACCACTTCTTACGAAGCGAGAAACATCACCCCGGCGAGAGCGAACTTGGTCATGAACATGCTTAGACCGAAAGTCGGCTAAGACAGCGAGAGAGTCCGTTTGCACATGTTCCATGTTGCCCTGACCTGTCTACTTGCAGGTGCCACCACTATGGCACTATGGTTCATCCCGCAGCCTCGCCAAGTTCTGAGAAGACAACCATGCGCTCGGGCCTGACCAGCCGTCTGAGCTATGCGCAACCGAATGCCAAAATGCAGCGTACCCAGAAGCACTGCTTTCTGTAAGCTACCCTCGTGCATAGCCGAGGCTCCTCTCCGACGGCCGCAACTGGGCATTGCGCCGTCTGCCAAGGCGAGTGGCTCTCGGCGTCGCCTAGTGTGCAGGCACCACAGCCCGGTTGCTGCTGAGCACATACAGCACCGAGGAAAACACGGTCTTGTTCGTAGTCTTCCGCTTTTCGACCATGTACCCCTTGCGTCCTGGTAGTTTCTCCGATGATTCGGATCACACGTGCAGATGATTCTGCGATGCACTCGGTCCTAAACCAGGTATCCTGCGTTCTTTTGCAGCTTCTTGCAGCAACCGGATGCGGCCTTCAAGGTCCTGAGCTCAAGTCTTATGACTATCCCAATGATTTGATTAAGCTGCTCAGTAAGGCCCCGCTGTGACTGCCCTGGTCGCATGAAATTTAGGCAAAAAAATCCAACAGCAACACCACAACACGCGGCCCGCAGCCCGTCATAACCATGGCCAAGGAGCCCATGTTTGCCGGTGCGTTTGGATGCGCTGCTTCGTGTATCCCTTTGGCAAATGAGCCATGAGCTTCTCTCCTGCGAAGGCGAAGGCATGCGAAGGCCATGCTTGCAAATCTGATCACGAAGAGCTGCAGAACAGCTGCAGAGGTCACGAAACTGTCCTAGAAGCTGTGTCTCAACTTCCCAGAGCGTGGGGAGATAGATGAAGCTGCGGACCTGCACTCGGAACTTGATGGCCGCGCGCATGGCACGCTGCCTCGGGTAAGAGTCTCTTCGCCGTCTCCCATTCTCTTCAAAGAAACCGTCCATGTCCTCTCTCCTCTCATCTCCTCTCTCTCCTCTTCCGGTAACTTCTCAGGTCGATGCAAGGCCCGAACATTGTAGAGGTAGGCACCAACCCGAGCACGAAAGCGCATGCCACGCCAGGCTCCTTCGATGAACTGCTTGATGGCGCAAGCGCTCCGCGTCAGGTTGCTCCGGTATTTCAACTTGGCCAAAAACTTCATGATGCGCAGCAAGTGATCCCAGCGCTCCCAAGCCGCTTTGCTACGCTTCGCACGCGAGTTGAAGATCTCTTGCAGGTTGCCCTGACCGTCCTTCTCGGTCAAGCTGCTGCTGACGATCTTCTTCGCTCGCAACCAGTGTGCTTTAGACTTGGTCGTGGTCGCCAGCGGCGCTTTGGATTCTGATTGACGGTACCACAAGCGTCGATCGCGGGCCAACTGCATAGCTTTCAGGAGCCGCTGAGCTGCTATAGCCACAGCCATACACTCAAGTAACGTCTGCTGCCTGGACGCCAGGAGCTGAAGCTCCTGCAAGCATCTCGTGACAGCATGGCCAGCCACTACGGGGAAGAAATTGCGCGGATTCGCAAGACTGCAATTGAACTGAACTTGCCTGCTGGGTGAGCTACCACGGGGCCAAGTTGACTGTAGTTAAGACGACTTGCAAGGTGCACGCGATCTAAACACGAGTCGAATGCTTAAACTCCGAAACGTGGACGACTTCTGGACGTGGCAAAGCAGGCAACTGTGGCGAGAGCGCGATCGCTATCTTGGTGGAGGGGGAAGGTGCAGGACAAAGGAAGCTGGACACTGTTGACATTGGTCATCCAAAAACACACTCGCGCATATTCCGGTATACCCCAAGCTCTCATGTGGCGAATCTTCAACACTTCCAGCTGCAGTCCTTCCGCTGCTCCTTGTCCCGGAAGCACTTCAAATGGTGCAGACGCCACTGCAGCTCGTTGCTCCGAACCGCCTTCTGCGCGATCTGAATTCGCTCGTCACGGATGCGGGCAGCTCGCACGATTCGAAGAGACCTCTGTTCCCCTGTTTCTAGACTGCTGTGCTCCGAGGGGCGCGTATTGACGGAAGCCATGGACACAACATGTTGCAGCGTTCGTGGCTCCGCAACAGGAAGGTATCCTTGTCCTTGTGAGCTGTCTTGCCAGCACTTTTCCTCTGCGCTGTCATACACGGCATCGTCCTCGGAGAGTACCGTTTTGAGACTTGCACTGCTCGGCACGGCTTGAACTTTCTTGCGGGGCGTCCTGGCTGACTGGGCACCTCTCAAACGAGGCAAGTCCAGTACTTCGCAATCCCTCTTCTCATCCCGAACTATGAACTTTTCCTCGATGATGGGGAGGACAAGGTCCGGGCGGTCACGGAAGAAACACAGCTTCGTATTCACTCTGTCCGGAGCTCCTGCAACTCTCTCAAACACACTCTGAGCATCCAGCTTGCCGACATCGATATCGTAGAACCTCTTCTGCGCCATCCGCTGTGATCTACTAGTGAGCTCAGAACCCTCTCCGCTGCTTGCGGCGGGACGAGCGTGCTGCTTTGCCTTCGCCTGCACAGGTTCTCCATCCGGCTCAGGGGCCTCAATTTCGCCAGATACAAATAGCAGGTGGTTCCGTCTTACCGCCGCCAGTCTTGAGCATATTTGCTCGACATCCACTGGCGCCCTCTCGATTTTCGCTGACATCCGCCGGCTTGAGAACGTGGTTCGGGGCTGCTCAGAGCAATCAAGGCTCGCTGCCTCAAAGGACGCTGCGAAGGCCCTGTTGTGCCGAAGTGCCACGCTGCTCAGGCCCACAGCGAGGAAACGTCCTGCAAAGAAAACGCGAGACCCTCCAACCTTCGGCCTACAGTAAAGTGGAGATGAGCAGAAGGATAAAATGTGCCAGTTCCTTGGAACCTTCCCCATCCCGATGGTTTTGTGGCTGACGCCAAGACACAGAGACCAAGCTCCGGAACTACGTAGACCGAACGCAATTTTCTACGCTCGTCGCAAACGTTCGAGGCCCTCGCCTCGATGGTCTTGATGCGAACTTCCGCTCGGCGCTGCCGCATGTGGAAAGCCCGCGACCGTTTCCATGTGCCCGACAGCACAGGCATGTCGCTGTCTGGAATACTGATGTACCAAGCCCACCGGAGGGATCGAAAAGCGGGTCTGATTCTGTGACACTCTATACAGCGGGCTGGGAAACCCTTTCATGACCTTTCATGCCTCCTTGCACCCTCAAAGCATCGTCATGGTCTACTGTGTCGGCTCTGATCTGCAGCTCTGAGCAATCCCAAGACATGCGTGTGCTCATGTCCATTTGCGCTGGAGTCACTGAGGGCGGAGCGCTTTGGTGAAAGTCAGCTGCAGCGACTCGGACCACGTCGGATCCTCACATTGCCAGATTCGATTAGACCGATCTGCACATCTGCCAAGACATTTGCGCAAACTTGCGGTCCCTCTCAGGGCCTCTGTAGTACCGCGAGGTACACCGGACACAACGCGCGCCACAAAGGGCCTTAAGCAACAGTCGTGCCTGTACATCATGCGCACAATTTCGCATCTGAGACGGAAGCTCAATCGCATTGTTAGACCAATGGAGTTCATGATTGCAATTAGTTACGTCTTGGAGTTGACAACATGCTAGTATGGGGTCCGGCTGCGTGCAATGTTGCCATCATGTCAAGATGTTGCAAGGCTTCGTTCCGTCACCTTCGTGGAAGCAGGGTCCAAATTCTGTTTCCATCTGATTAGTTTTTGTCCACTAACTGCACTAATGCAGCACGAAACGGTTTGCCATCTTGGGGCCGAGCCCTTCGAAGATCGCCTGGTTCACTTCGTTGGGCGCGGTCCGGCCACGGCGAGGGTCGCCACCTTGGAGGGGCCAAACAGCTGACATGCATCGACAGGGGACAGTGAAATGTCGGGGGCACAGTTTGCCCCAGGCTCGTTGGGATTCCGGGCTTATCTCCAACACCGGCCCGAAGTGATGGTGAGCATGCAGGATGGACGAGAGCCATAGATTGGAAACGAAGATGCAGGGCAGTCACAAGCGGCGCCCTCTTAGACCTGGCAGAGATCCTGCACACTGAAAGCCTCACTCAGTCCAGCCTTCTGCTCTGAAAGCAGCTCTTAGCACCTAGCGGATCACCCGCAAGTCGAGCACAGGTGCGAAGGTCCAGGATTCCTCGCGGAGGAGCAGCGTTTGGCATCGCACGATGTGCAAAGACGTTGCAAACAAACAGGTCCAGGTGTCACAGATCGATTCGGATGTGCAACGCTCAACCGACTAAGCAATAGTTGCGGCGGGAGACCTCAACATGTGAAGAATAGCGGCTAAGCAATAGTCGTCGTACCTCGAAGTCCAGAATGACATGAAACATGTGCCCCAACTGATGCCATCTCTCTCCCGATGTAGCCTACCTTTCTACTTCTCTGCCACAGTATCATAGTTTCGGGCCGGCTGCATCTGTCCCGGACACCGCATTCATTGGAAATGGAACCTCTAGCCAGACTGGCGTGCACTTCATGAGGCGAAAGCCGTGCATGGTCAAACATTGGTCTTCCGATCGCAAGAAGGCTTTAGCGGGCGCAGCGCCTCGCCTCCTCCAAAGTTGTGCTCCCGCCAGGCCGAAAACAACCTGCCGTATGATACCTTCTGGTATTACCAAAAGGACGTCACCACTCCTTCAATCCTTCGACCGCCGTGCACCAAGTTGAGCTCAAGCAAGGAGTTGATGTCAGACGTTCGGTCGAGGTGGAACTTACACATGACAAAACAGAAACACAAACGTTGTCAACCTTAGTTTAGGGAGATGCGTTCAGGTTCGCAGAGGCCTGAGACAACCAGAGAAGGGTTTGGGACATACGCGGAAGATGGGGAAGGCACTCTGTTTTGCAATTATTCGTTTGCCTTTCAGACGTCTGTCCTTCCCTCCTTGCTTCCGTCACTCGTTCCTTCCCTCGTTCCCGCTGGTCTTCCAGCAGGGAAACGAAACCTCATGTTCGGTGCTGATACCGCGTTGACTACAGCTTAAACACCCTTGGTTCGGATCGCAGGCCTTTGGAACGCTCACGAGGTCACCTTAGGCCACTAGACTATGCGTCCCCTGCCCGCATGGTTTGTCACGTGGTCCCGAGTGGCTTGACTTACCTAGATCATTCGGAAATGGTGGGATCGGATCAACCGTGACGGCCGCGCTGGAGATGTCTGCGACCGCTGAGCGTTGTTCTAAACCTGTGTCCACAAGATCAGTCATGTTAATTTGCAAACACCCTCGCGGAAAAGCCCCACCAATGTGCGGCGAGCAGATGCGCGGAGAAAGAGTTCGCGAAAGCGACAAAGATGATCCAGTTGATATTGAAGTTTCGCGTGGTTCGTGTCTCTCGCCGCTTCGACTTGCAAATTCGAGCTTTGTGCGCCACTAGTGCCAAAAACGCGCTGTCCAGAAATGAAAGGAATTTTTGTGGTCCATCCATATAATGTGCTTTGCCAAACAGCTTCTCGATCGGGCTCTTTGCCTTCCCACACAGAGGGCCTGCGCCTTTTTGCTCGTATGAAGGCCTTCGACCAGCATAAAAAAGCTGCGTCTTTCTTTTTGGTCTTAACTGCGTCTTTAAGCTTGCTGTTACTCACATCATGCTTCGGATCCCACGGATCGTCTGGGCTAGTTGCACCTTCTTTAATTCTGATGATAACCGTATCATTCCCTCTGCCGTTACAAGACTGTGGATCTCATTCTTACGCCGGAACTTCCCGGAACCCTCATCAGGCGTGGCGCCTGACCATCTCACATACTAATCCGACCCCGGGTTGTGGGCGATGGCTGTTGAGCCCATTTCTTAACCATAACCCCTCACTAAGCGAAGTCGGCCCAGAGCGCTCATTGTGCGATAGGGGTTGGTCCCATGTCTTAGACCCGGGCCCTCAATAGACGGTGACCGTCGATCCATGTCGATCCCATTTCTTGAAACCGACCCCTCTTAGGGCTGGCGATTGATCCCATCTCGCTCAAACCCGAAGCATCCTTAGGCGATGGTGTTTGATCCAATTTCTTAAACCGACCCCTCATTAGGCGATGGCGGTTGATCTCAAATACTAAACCCACCCCCCGCTAAAGGGGATAGCGTTGATCTAATATCTTAAATCCAACCCCATCTTAGGCGATGGCGGTTGGCCCCATATCTACATCCCGACCCCTCCTTAGGCGATAATTGTTGATCCTAATTCTTAAAACCAAACCCCGTTTAAGCATGGCAGTTGGTCTCTTCTCCTAAATCCGCCCACGCATTTGGGGATAGTGTTCGATCCCACATCTCAAACCCGACCCCGTCTTAGGCGATGGCGGCTGGTCACCTTGTTTGACAACGACCCTTCGTGATTACACGATGCCGATTGAAAACGTATCTTAAACAGCCTCCCCTCACTAGGCCATGGCAGTTGGTCCCATTATCCTGGGGCGATGGTGGCTGATCGCCTGTCTTCAACTCGACCGCCATGAGGCGATGACTCCGGCGACGGTAAATCTCATGTCCTCATTCGGGATAACGGTTGCTCCGATATCTTAAACCCGACCGCTCCTTTGGCGGTGGTGGTGGATCCCAAAAACCGAAATCCGACCCCCCCCCCCCTGCTTAGGCGATGGCGGCTTTCCACAGTCAACGGAAAAAGAAAGATTGCTGCACAGGCCCGTCGGCTCGCAATTAGAGCCCTATAGTAAATCTTTTCTGGCCTCCACGGACACCCCTGGCCTGCATTGAGGATCCTTTTTTATTTATCTTGGGCTTTGCTCTCGCGCACGCGTGCTCGGGGCCCGTTGGCCGGATGAACGGGCTCAAGTCCCGAAAAGCAGTCCGAACAACGAAGTCCTGTCCAATCGAGATGTTTTGGATTCGCAAAGGATGGAAGTCCAGCTGAACCTCCTCCTTCCCAGTTCACACACCAGACACACGTTTCAAAAACACCGGGATTTCCGTTGCAAGCCTCCAAGTCCGGAGCCTTTTCCACCTCCTTGAGGGCCGCGACAGCGGCTCCTGCACCGGACACCTGTAAGTCATGCGGTCAACAAGCGAACGACGGAAAATCTGATGCAGCTGGGCCTTTGACCAAGCTGATGCGGCACCTCAAGAAGCTGGTCATGAGAACGAGCCGTGCCCTACAGCTAGTAAAGTCAGAGGAGCCCACTTTCAGTAAATGTCTGCTCCTTCTGCCGTTGAGCTCGATTGTGCCGCTGGCCTGATGTGGCTGCTTCTCCAATGTATGGTCAATCGGCTAGGAAAACTCCGGCCAGTGTGTTTTGTTGTTCCGCTGCCTTGTTACGCCTGGCCCTTGTTTTGTCAGACCAGAATTTTTGTTTGCTCTCGCCCTCCTCTCGGTGTTGTTTTGGCTCCGCACCGCTCCCGGACACTCACTCACTCACTCACCGCCGCGGGCTTGGGCTGCAGCACTCATGGCAGGCTTGGGTGCTGGGGTGGCATCTTGCTTTTGCTCTCGCCCTGTGGGTGTTTCGGGCTCACTCACGTGGGCTGGCAAGTACTGCATCGGATCTAAAGAATCGGCAGCCAGACAAAAAAAGCACCTCCGTACACTCCTTGGATTCAGAGTCTGAGGAGCTGCGCAACACAAAGACCACACACACACACACACACGTGCAAGCCCTGTAAAGGGTTCCCGCCTTATCCATGAAAGGAATCCGCAGCCCCCTACGAACCGTGTCGGGCAGCGGGTGGGTGCAGCGTTGGAGCAACCAGGTCAGTGCTTCAGCCCTGTCGAACCCCACATCCTCAAAGAGGGCCAAACCCTGCAGCCGCAAAACCCTGAACCCAAAAAGCCTAAACCCTCCATCCTACCCCAGGCATGAGGTTAACCTGGAGTTAAGCCCTAAACCATCCTAAACCCGACTCCGAAGCTTGAACCATCCTGAACCGCAAGGGCAAACCGATAAAACCTGAAAGCAACGGGAACCCTCCAAGCCGAGACAAGCCTGTTGTGTCAAGAAACTGCAAGCGGCTGAGCAGCAAAACCTCAACCCGAAGGGACTGGCGAGCCCGAAATTCAGAAGCCCTGCCGCCTTACACAAACTCGAAGCCAAGCAAAGCGCAACACGACTGGCAAACCCAGCGGTGAACCCCTAAAGGACGTGGCAAACCCTAAACAGCCCTAAACTAAGGACAACTTCCACTTGTCCAGCCATGTACTGTACTGCAGCTGGTGCACAGTCGGTACACGCGCGCCTCCCCGCACCCGCAAGCGCTGCAAGCGCCGTCGCATGGCCTCAGAGACCCAGCACATCTCAGCACTCTTCAACTCGCATGACGCATGACGCACTTGATACCCTGCGATCCGAGCCATTGACAGGCCAACCCTCTCCGCTCAGAACTCGCACATCATGCCTGGCTAGCAACAAGGAGACGGTAAAGTGCTCGCTGCTCGGGACTCCCTTCAATTTAGGTCTTCTCTGTTTGCGCTGCACTTTGCGTTGCGTAGTGGCTCAATTGCAAAGGGTGCCAACTGTCTCCGCGGAATAGGCCAGCATCTACTAGAGCGAGTCGAAATTCGGGACTTGGGATTCGGTCGGATTCCACCTGAGTCTCTCTTCCTCCAGACTACAGAAACTGTAAGAGACAAACGAGCTTCGGTTGAAGGCCGACGGGCCGACAGACCAACAAGATCCACAAAGACTACCTCGCACATGCATGAACTAGGATTGTGGAAAGCAGTCGAATGGAGTGTCAACACAGGAGTGGCAAAACAGGCTCTGTAGAATGGCTTCGCCATTGACCTCTGGACGATCAGAAAATAGATGCTTCGACACTCGACACTCCCTCTGGTAAACATGCGCTGCTAGACCAACTCCAGGTGCCGGCGCTGTCCTTGTCAAAATCCTGACAGAACAGCAAAAGTTCTTGCGTGGGACATCAGCAAGCCGAAGTTTTGCCTTCTACTCATCTTACAGTAGAAACCTTTAGCCAGGAGCCTTGCCTGAAAAACCGCCTCCTTGAAGGACTCGGGGAGCTCTTCCTCCCTCGGTTCGAGGGATCAGATCACTGCACCAAGTTCGCTGCTCCCTTGCACTCGGACCGTGGCATGCCATATCGGATCCTGAGGTCTTCGAGAAGCGCGAAAGCCTGGCGCACGTTGTCTAAGGAAGAAAGCGCTTCCCAAGGCATCTTCCGGGCTTCGGGTTTTGGTTTCTGGCCAACAAAAATAACAGCGCACAGGAGGGGACTCAAGCGGCAGGTCGGCTCACAACGGACCCTATGCCCAGTCTCCTTTGCGCCCCATCTGTGCGGCGCAATCGCTTGGGTTGGTTCAGGCGACGTTTTTTTGCCGCTGCACAGAAGCGCAAACAGAATTCAAATCCAAGGGGCACCAGTGCGAGCATTGAGACTAGCCGCCGTTGGGATGCCACCCCATAGAAGGAATTTGAACGAGCCGGATCCTAGCTTTACATGCTTTTACAGGGTGGCGGCTCGTCCCACCTCTGGAACCCTGGAAACCTGAGACGGTTGTAGACATGCAAGCAAACATGGGCCAGCAACATGAGCATGATTTGGGCTTTCGGACGAAAATTTGGTGTTGGAGCATGCTCAGCACCAATGCTCTATGTCAGTCTCGGCGCATACGCGGGTTGCCAACATGCTGCGTGCGGGCCAGGCTAATGCCGGTGCTGGCCCTGAATTGGCAAAGGACGTCCTCGAAGGTGTGCGGTGTTCGCGCTTTGGCGCGCGTCGTGCCGAGGGCCCCCTGCCTTCTAGCACCGGGGGTGCGGGTGAAGGCGGAAAGCACCGATTTCCTCTTTTGACACTTATCGGTTCAGCTAATAAGCTCATGTTCAGGGACTTTCGCAACCAGAGTTCTGTTGGCTACTGCGGAGCCCAAAACTCATGTTCCGTTGAACGCCTCGTCTAAACGTCGCAACGCCCTCTTGTGCAGCCCTCACGAGCCTGAGGATCCAGCGCACTTCTACTACGTTATAGTCATCAACAGAACATGGCGATGGCTCCTCAAACTTAGCACAACCCTGTTACAGTCGCAAACGCAAATTGGTTGGGCCTCTTGCTTCTCCAGGTGCCCGGAGCCGGTAATGTCGTGCTTGTCATAAAGCCGCTTGAGATCATCAGCACTCGGGGCCTCAACGCTGGCAGTTGCGCCCATCCCCTGCTTGCGCCTGCTGGCACTGCGAGCCGAGAGGCGGGGACACATCAAAAGAAACAGGGATCAAGGTGTCGCTGTGCACTTCTGGACCTCTCGTCTCTCTACGTTCGCATCCTATGCAGGGAGTGAAAGGCTGCGCCTGGGCCCGAATAAGAAAAACATCGGGGCTAGTGTAAGACTATGAAGAAGACCAGCCCTAAACACCGAGTCATGACGGAACATGTTCGACTTGTGAAGCCTGGTGACCGGGGTGCGTAGGCTCGACACATCAGCGGCCTTTCTGCGCAGGAACCTCCCGACGCAAAAGATCCAACTCCTCAAGGATTTGATTCCAGACGCCGACGTCCAAGTACTCGTCCTGGACAGCCGCTTCGAATCCGGGTGGCGGTGGCACCACACGCATTGCTGCGACCAGCATTCGCTCAATGTTGCTGTAGTCTTCAGGAAGTTCCGCGTGCCGCGGCTTTCTGACGCTGTAGCTGTCCAGCCGTTGATCCTCTCCATCGTCCACAAGTTTCATCCGGCACTGCAGTCGTGCCCGGACGAAGTGCAAAGCCGAACGCCCGTCGGAAGAGAGCATCCAGGGATGAGCCCGGTTGGTAGGCGGTCTGGTCCACTCCAGATCCTGCGACGAAGAAACTCTCACGACCAGAAGCAGGCAGAAGAGTCACAAGCGTAATGAACTGCTCATATCTTAAGCTGTCCAGCAGGAGCCGGACGGTGTCAGCATGGCCATAAGAAGCTGCCAATGTCAGTGGGGAGAGACGCGTGCCTTCTGTGGGAAGATTGGGATCGGCCTGTGCCCAAAGAAGCTCTTCACACATGCGACGGTATCCGTTTTGTGCTGCCAGGAGTAGAGGGGTCCATCCCATGTCGTTGGGCTTGTTGGCGAAGGTGCTGCGCTCCTGACAGCTGCGAAGACGAGTCATTGTGCAAGAACTTACTGCTTGGTGAGCGAACTTCAACTTCAGGCTTACTGCAGATTGCTGGACACACTGTGTCACAGATTTCAACAAACTGAGGGTAGATCCTGAGATGATGCGGAAGTCGTCAGAATTACTTGAAAAAGTTGCTGCATGCCGAGTCTGCAAGCAAGCACCAGCACGGTTGAGCCAAAGCCGTCCACGATGCTGTACAGGTCTCTTGCAGGTATTGAGAGGCAGAATGCAACGGCATCGGTCTCCTTCTGCTCAAGATTATCCCCTGGAGAACTTTGCAGGAATTGAAGGACTTGCACCTTGTAATCGGCTTGGTTCTTTGCATCTTGCACAAGCTGGAGGAACTTGCTTGGCGGGCGGATCAGCGTTCGCTCTGTGGGTGTTGTTGCGGCCACCTTCGACAACGGCCTCTGCTTGGGCCCCGCCGGTGCCGATGGTGTTACATGTCCCAGCAAGATGTCTGACAGAGCATCCACGGCCAGGCCTGCGTGCAGGACAGCTTCATGATGAAGCACAACTGCTACGGCTGAAGAACGTTTGTGACCGATCTGATTGGTGTACCCAATTCTAGCATCCATGCTGTGTGAATGGCTGGCGGATGCAGCTGTGTCCAGGCACCCTGGAAAGAGCGTGCAGAGCCCAAGAAGGCCTGGTTTAGAACCTAGGGTTTCGCAGCACTGCAGACTCTGAATCACAGGATTCGCATTGGCTCAAGGCATGGGTTTAGTTGTACGGTCCATGGCATCGGATTTGGGGTTGTGTTTTGTGCGCGGCTCCGGCTTTTCGCGTCTAGAGTTTAGGCTGTGCAGCTCCTACGGGGGCTTTGGCGCTCATGGTGTCAAGGGTGGGCTTGATGAGTTTGATTTGGGCTCGTAAACTAAGTTGGGGAGCCGATAGCAATGCCTGCGCCGAAGTATACTGTGGTCTCACAAAGCGGGCGGGATGCAATGAGCATCGACAACAGCTCACCTCACGTGCGCCGTCCGGAATGATTCTATCATCTCTGCGCTACGTACTTGTCTTCTTCTGCCTCTCCTTCCCATCTTCGACTGACGGTTCCAAAATCTGACATGAGATCATCTGTCTGAATCTGACAGGTCCTACTCGGCTTCCGTACTTCCGGGATCTTCCGGGTGGGGATGGGGTGGGCCAGCCCTTCGGAAGCCTCCGGGGCCGACGCCTAGGTGTCGCAGCAGGCTGGGAATGTCTTCCGCAGCCACGCCGGCCTGCGCCGCGGCCCGTGAAATCTCGTAGCCGGAGAGCATGCCATCGGCATCCAAGTCGAACTGCAGCAGCGCTCGGCCGACCGACGCATTCTCCTAGGTCAGTTCGTTACAGCTCAAAACAAACAGAAAGCATTGCCTTTTTAAGCTTCATTGACCCCACTGTCAATCGAGACTCTCTTTGAAGCCAAGCGAGGAAAACCTGCCTTGCAAGCAGCACAGGATTTTGCGCCGGAGGCATGATCTGGGGCATTGGAGCGCCCCATGCGACATGTTTGTGTACCTGCATTGGTCGCGTAGGTCGTAGTAGGTCACAGTTCTTGAAGTTTGTCCAGAACTAGCGTGGGCTGGAAATAAACTAGTCCTTGCTCTGCGGGGTGCTTGCATCAAGAATCGCTGCTACCGCCACAGAACCCGTCGATGCAAACTGGCACATCTTTGGCAGCCTCCATTGACAAAATCAAATGCCGACGACGCCCTCCACACGAGTTCCCGATGTCTGGATTCTGCATCTTTCAACAATGCAAAAGCACGTAGCACTTTGGCCACTCGAGGTCGGCTCTCGAATAAGCTTGGGGACAATTAGCACTTTGGCACTTGTTGCCGCCGCTTGTCATTTTGACAGTTGACATGCACTCACAATGCTGCACAGCATGTGAATCTGTGATGCTGACGAAAGGCCTATGGGAGCAGCATCATGTACGAAGTTCATCTTCCAAACATCGAGCTGCTTCTTACTGTGCAAGATCGCCGCATCACGCTGTCAATTAGAAGTGCTCTTCCAATATCTTTGGAGAGATCCAGCATGTTCCCTCCTGGAAGTGCAGATTGCAGCCCGGTAAACACTCATCGGCTTCGCATGCCGACAGCTGAGCTCGGAGCATTGAAGGCCTCGCCGCAGGCCTCAATGCAAAAGCACTAAATCAGAGACTGCCCCAGACTGTTCCGCATTGCTCCGCTGCTCTTCTTCCTGCTGGGTCTCACACAGCCGAATCGAAATTGAACTCTCCCCTTGGCCATTGCGAAGGCCACTGCAATGGTCTGCACCTGCGAGCCCCAGAGATACAGCCGTCGAAGGCAAAGGCCAAGCAGGCCTCAACTCGTAGGGCTCCGATTTGGAGTCTGCTTCCGAGTCCTTGTAATTATCGTAGTAATCACCGCATGTTGGGCCAACGCTCTTGGTCTGAAGAGGCTAGTAGGACTGCATTTGTAAGTATCGCAATTGTTCGACGAGGACAGCTTGTCGGCAGTGAATATTCAGGGGCCGGCCGGACACCTTGGCTTGGCCAGCAGCCTCAGCAAGAATGGCTAGTGCTCAATCGACGCAATGCTTCGCCCACATGTCACCTTACATCTTGCGTAACACATTTGACACTGTATCACTTCGACGGTGTGCACAGCAAAATGCGTGAGCATGACGGCTGGAATGCAGGGCACGCAGGGGCACCGAAAGACGCAAACATAGCCAAGGACAGGGTTGGAGGGCACTTGGAAAACATGCGAGCATCACATCAACCGAAGCATGTGCATCGAAGCATGTGCATATAACGAGTAGATTGATGCGCAAGACAAAGCTCTTGCCAAACAGGAACGCCGAACAATAAACTGACGATGCCCTGGATTGACATGAGCACGGCTGGAAAAAAAAAAAAAAAACAATCGCTCGTGTAGCGTGCGACAGCAGCTTCAGGAAAAGAACAGGTGTCTTGGTAGGAAGCCCTGCCCCAGTCTCCAAGTGACTGCACGCTTCCCGAACTGCAAAGTGAAGCAAGTCGGTGGTTGAAACGCGTGCATCTCCTTCTCTTCGTGCATCTCCGAAGAGCCGATTGTAGGCGCTCGAAATAGCACTGAAAAACAGGCCAAGCCCGAAGTGATTGGGTGCTTGCCGATATGCCACTCTAGTCAAGTCGGCATGAAGCTCTGGACGGACCTGTCCAGAGGTGAGCCTAGCGCTTCGGTTTTGAAGCCAGCCCGACTCTCAAGTCAGGTCCTGGGCCATCCTGGTCTTTGCTCTGGATAGAGCGACCCCGTGATATCGGGGCAGCGGCCTTGGGGGCCCGCGAGCAGCGAGTCGGAAAATACCTCTCCAAGGCCGTGCATCCGATTGTGCAAGCGGTTAAGGGAGACGACGTTATATGCCCTTGAGTCTTTGAAGCCGGGCCTGTCGCGACCTCAACAAGGCAGCTGACGCCGCCCATTCCATCAATGCTCGCTAACCTCAGCGGCATCCCAAGTCAGGCTGGAAGTAGACATTTGCGCAACTCCATCACTGCGTGTCTGGTGCAGTGGAACAAGCATGGCTGGGCGTCTCGCTGGGTCTGCAACTTCGGATGCCACTGGGTGATCGTCCGGTCGGCTGACCCGGAAAGGATCGATTCCTCAGGTAAAGGCAAGGTGTCAAGCTGCAGGTTTGTTTCAATTGAACCCGACAGCTCACCATTCCAGAAGCCTACGGTAATAGTGCCTCGGCATGACTTGTCTGGAAAGGGGTCTGTGCTCACACATGCCTCAACCTCCGCACCTAGGCGTCCGACCTACAAATGCTGGAAGCTACTGCATCACAGCATGCGGCCAACGCAGCCGGCAGCTGAGGAGTCGGCGGAGATGTAAGAGAGGATGCTTATGCCGGAAGAATGCCTCTCTCATAGCGACGAAACAGAAAAACAGTGTGCGCACCGGCGGCATGGGGCTCCAGCCCCTGCAGTGTAGTCAGGAGCTGGTGCGTGATCGGGTGCCAACCTGAAGGCGTCAGGACAACACTGTCTTAAAACATGGGAGGCCTTCTCAGATTTCCTGAGTCTCCGGCGCTTGATTGTGGTGTCACGGGACCCCGACCACAAAGAATCCTCCACCTCGCTGGTTATGTGATAGACCATAGCAAGGCCCAGATTTTCCCACTCTCCAGCTTTAGTCCCACTTTAGGCATCAGAATATGTCAGACTCATGTCATCAGAACCCGCACCTCCAGCAAGCACGTCACCCAGTCCGTGTGACCGTACATGGTGTCAATCAGTTTGCCAGACTGCCAAGGCAGCATTGTTTTTCGTTGTTATTCTAGAAGAGGGCGTTTGGAGTCTGGCTTCATGCTGCAGGTTGTGACGACATGTTCTCTCAAATGAATTTCATTCTGATCGCCCGATGATCCCAACTGCAAAAAGGCTAACATGCTGCTAGAGGGGCTCTTCACCAGCACGAGCACGTAAAATCTTCAAGTGCATTCTGAAGACAGGCATACCATATCATACCATCTTCCGATTTTGCAATGCCCGAGACAGCTTGATATTCAAACTGCCGAATTCCCGGTTGCGACCTTCACGTTCCAGCACTTCAGGGTGCAATCCCGAGAGCCAGTGATGATGTCCTGGTTACCAGGCAGGGAAACACAGCCATGAAACTGCCCATTCCGTGTCCTCCGACGCCGCGCAAAGCATGCACGTGATTCCATCCTGAAGTGACGCACAGATGTACGCTTTCAAGCCGACCATTCTCGAAGTCCTCGTGATCTTCCAGGCTGCACCTCAGGAGGCAGCACCTTTGTTTGTTCCTTGTGAATTTCAGTCGCTGCGCCGCTTGGGCTCCGGCAAAAGCTGGCCATCTTCTCCCCAGACTTTGAGGACGCCATCCTCCGAACCTAAACTGCGAACATTCCGGGAACAATTTGCCAACATGTTCGAGCTACCTTCCACAAGCAACCCGACGAGAGGGATGGCCGCAACTCATCCTCCTCCAATGGTAAACTACCTCTCACTCTTCCTGTCGCTACCTCTAACTCAATTGTCACTACCTCGAACTCACCTTGTCATTACACGGTTTTCACTGTGTGATGCTGCACTCAAGGCTGGCACCGCTGCAAAGCCTGCCCTCCAAGAACAGCAGTTGCTGCACCTACGGCAGACAGCACTCTTCCCTTGCAGACTTGAGAACTTAGTCACTTCACCACATAGCTGCGATCTAAGGCCATGACAGGGCCGGCATGTCCTGAGAACTCGTTTGGTAGATGTGGCATTGTAGTCGTACACGTGCATTCCATCATGCCTTCAAAACACATGACGAGCGGAATCCGGGGCCTCGCAGAACCATCAGTTCCTTGCAGGTTTTGCGGCACCACTGCCTGCCGTCAACCGATACGAAATGAGCTCTAGTGCTTGAGGCAAACCGCAACTGATAGTGCAATCTGATGAGCAGCTGTAGAGGGAAGTCGAGCTCGCTGCTAAACCCCAAACCTGCCAGTCAAACGCAAAGCCGAGTCTCTCGGATCTACACAACATGCCAGCTCGGACTGCTCCGGTGTGTCCGACAAAGGTCCTCGGCTGGCGATGACCTCGGGGAGGTCTGCCCAAACTGCGCCAACAACTAGCCAACAGCTAGGACGCAGCAAAACATACTGTAAGGCCAGGAACCTAGCACCCAGCATTTGACCTCGGTTCACACTTCGACACGGGGAAAAAAACCCAGACTAAGGCACAAAAGAACTCACTAAGGAATCCCAGCCACTGTGCTGTCCACCGATCCGCTGAGGAGGACATCGCCTGACTGGTGAACACTTACAAGCAGCAGAGATGAGATGAACTCCCTCGGCCGGAGACTCAGCTGCGGTCACTGGAGGTGCGGACAGAAAGTCACCACCAGACAAGTCACCGGACCACCATGACCTGGCGAGGCTTGAGCTGGGGCAACTGCTGCTTGCAACTGCTTGGCCATAGCCCTCAGCAGTGACCGCGGTCTTGGCTTCACAGGTGCTCATGAGCAGCCTTCGTAGGTGACGCGGGGCTGCCCTGTGGCTGCACTGTGTGCCACCTCTACACGGAGCGGCAGTCGGCACAGGCAGAGAAGAGTCAAAATTCAAACCTCAGATTCCTGCCACCTGCTTGCCAATGCCAGCATAGACCAAGCCTGGCACACAAGCAAGCCTGGGCTGCATCAGTCTCCCTCGTGCTTACACTCCGATGCCTGAGCCATGGCTGTAGTAGACCTGCTGAGCCCCCTGTGCAGCATGGCATGTGAGCATAATCAAGCCACAAGAGCTGATGACGAAGCGCTTCAGCTACCGTTCGCAATGCACAAAGCCGTCTGCTTGCACGGTCTAGACTCCAAGCTTTGGACTTTGATCTGCCTTGCAGGATCCCGCTGGCGGCGAAGGTGCAAACGGCACCCAGCGCGCTTGTCGACGAAACCTGCTCTACTCCCATCACCGGGAGATTTACCGATGTGCGATGTAAGCACTTCCTTCTCTCAAACCTACATGCTGTGAAGCACGGTGGTTACGACACCCGACTGCCTGCAGTGCTCCAAAGCGGCGGCACCCATCCGTCTATGCTTTCCATGAGCGAAACAACTTACAAACACTTCGACATACAAGAAATCCTCCTAAGTATCGGACATGCAGCGTCTTCGAAGCCAAATGTCAAAGACAATGTAGCATTGCCAAAGTGGTCTGCTTTCTACGCTGAAGCCTCTAATGTGTCTGGGGGGGCGGGGGTGCTTGTATTAAAGCTGCAGGACAGCTCACATTCACCGACCACCGGTGCATCGTTACACTAGGACAACCACAATCGCAATGTATCGTCGATTCGGAACACAAACTCACATCATCTCACGTCTCAACCATGCCAAGCTGGTTTTTGCATTTGCATAGAGAGGTCCCGTGCATTCACTCGCCATCAAGCGAACGAAGCCCGTGCAGATCTGCGCAGTCTGAGAAACCGAAACTGGACAGTCTTGCATCAGAGTGAGGCATTCCAACCGAGAATCTGAATCTTCCAAGTTTCGGTAGGTCTCAACCTGGTGAAACAAGCCACTGCTCGAAGGTGAGAGTGCTCTGCACGAAGCTGGGGATCTTCAAGATCTTCAGAGGCACAGCTTGTCGCAATCCAACCTCCGGCAGCAACTTGTGCTGCAGACTCTTGGCGACTTCCCTTCGAGACTCATCACCAAAAGCTGTGTTAGCACTTTTTGATTTCAGCCAATGGAATGCAAGTTCCGAGTGAAGAATGCTCTTTGCAGGCTGACGCATGCAGGGCACGTGCTTGCATCTCCCTGGCCATGGCGCTATGCGGGCGCAGCATTAAAGCGGCAGTTGTCACTGTTTTCAGCGACAAAGAAGGCTGAAGCCGGTCTACCCTGACATGATCTGTCCATTTTCTAGAAACACATCCTTAAGGTTGAAGTTCATGGTACACCTCGCTACAACTTTAGTCCCCCGACTTCTCCTCGCAACTACGGTACCATCAGAGGCGAAGTTCACTGAGTTCACTCCTCACGTCTCCTGCGCCTCGGCCTCCGCTTCAGCCCTGGCCACAGAGAACTACTGTAAGAGCATTGAAACCACCCCACCCGTGTGGTTGACCTCGACATGCTACTACGATCCCACAGGTTCCCAGACACCGCCGTGAGATTTCCGGAACAAGCTGCGAACATAGCCTAGCAGCCGCTTGCAGACCTGACAGACACCATGATGGTGTCCGGGACCCTAAGAGGGCTCTTCTGCAAACATACATGCCACGTCCTTCCACACTGCCAGTTTTCCTCCTGAGTTTCTCCATTACTTCACGCATCCTTCGAAGCCTCTCCGCTCGGCACTTCCCTGAAAATTTCCCGTCTGCCGAAATACTTGGGGTCATCAGTCAGCACAAGAAAGACCCCGAGTCACAGAAGCCCCACGCTCGTATGCTGTCCTGCAGTTCCGATGTATCACCACTCCACCCCCGTTGCTTCTACCTTTACGGGAGTTGCAACCTAGATCCACTCGGCTGGTTACAAACCCTGATGTTCTGCCCCGAAGCAACCCCCGTCGAACGGTCCTTGAGTAAGGCAACAACTTCGGACAGTGTCTGCAGACAATCGGTGCCTTATCATTCGAACGGCCTTACGGATGCATAGTCTGCTCTGCTGTCTTTCTTGTCGTCCTGGTTAACCTGGTTAAGCTGTCCGTGCATGTTAGTTCTTACTACATCCTCATAGTATTGCCATCCCCACCACAAAGCAACCTTTCGAAGCTTCTGAACTTTAGGAATGCGCAACTAAGCTCTTAATGGAAAGCCAGTTCATTGCATGGCCGTCTTCTTGGTGGCTATGACGACTGAATGCAGTTTGGGCTCGTCACCGCACTCCTCGGGCTGGATTTACCGCCCTGTAAATGTGTCCCTTTCCGTGTTTCCAAACATGGGAGACGGTCCCCTCACCTGACCTGTCCTGGAGTGTTCTTGTTCTGTCGTTCTGATGAAGCACACACTTCATGTAGCAAGCCTTACCACAGTGGCTTGCGTTTTGCTCCCCGTTGCCCACTCCAAGCACTGGTGAATCAGTGGCCTTACAAAGGCGGCCTTCCCAAAGAGAGAATCTGGCTAAGAAGGGCTTCAGAGAAACGGGGCAAGTCCGCTTGGAGCTCCGGCCGGCAACAGGGCTCTCCGTCTCTGCGCCCCATCCCCTCGTTCAATTCATGCCGGGGCTGCTCTCTCTGCTTGATTGCCTCCGCAGGATGCTACTCGCGACCAGAGCACAGAAAGAAATTGAAGGCCTCCCACTGCTTTTGAACCGTCTCCAGTCTTTTTCGCAGTGTCCTTAGTAAGTCTATGCAGCTGTGCGGATATCGGTCGCAAGCGGTTGCGACTGATGTAGCAGGGAAGGCAGAGTAGATTCATGGCCGGGATGGCGACGACATGTAGTGATTCTGCTCTGCCACTTCATCCGCGACTTTCTGGACCTGGGCATCTCAGTTGGCCTTGGCAGCGCTCTCCAGGCGTTCTCGGTGCCGCACCCAGTCTGACGCTGGACCGTCTCGACCACCGGTCTCAATGGTGCCACTGTGCAGTGCTTTGACCTCGGCTCGGCTGACTCGAGAAGCTGCTGGCTGCAGCTGGCAGAGTCACAACAAACATCTCCCTGCGTCGTTGCTTGGGCTGCGGCTGTGTCTGTCACCTGCACGGATGCACCACGGATGCACGCTGCGCTTTCTCTAGACATCGACGTTGCCTGATCCAACGCTAATTTGCAGGACAGTGCCATTTTCATGCACCTGCAGCGGCCGGGTGCCGAAGCTTACTTGATCGTAATTATGCAAACAACCCTTTGCACGCGATGCACAAGGCATGTGTTGCATTCCTTAAGGCGGCATCTCCGACAGGGGCACTGACCGCTTGCTCTGAGAGGCTGCTTGATCGTCCATTTGGACCTGCCAGGAACACATCGGGTGCTGAGGGATCTGACGATCTGAATGCCGGCGTTGTGGCCATCTCCCTCCCTTGTCGTGCCTGGAAGTGGCACTCCTGGAACAAGACCTTGAGCTGCTCCTCAGGAGAAACCCATACACAATGAGTTCGAGGTGCACTTCGCTTCAATACTTCGCTGGAGTGATTCCACAATGGAAAGCACAAGCTTTGAGTGGGCTGAGGCGGCAGCATTGCACATGGATGGGAACTTCTCCTCGGTCGACAAGCAAGGCTCTTCGGAAAGAGGGCACACAGCAAAAATGTGATCCTGTCGGCTTATTTTGCATCCGCCGATACGGGCAAGACTCAATCGTCCCGACAAGTTGGCGACGCGGCGCTTGAGTTTTCCCTCTTTCTCAACATCGAGCTACTTGCGAGTTGATGACACGGAGCGAAGTCGGTGCCCCATCACAACCAAAGGCTCTATGAAAACATACTACGCTTTCTTCATCCTGCCCAAGTCTCTGCAGGAGGCGCTGTACTGCTGATTTTATGGAGCATATCCCACAGTTCCGACAGTCCCGGCTCGGTCGACGGCGTTGCAGGTCTGCCATTTCGGGTGCGTCGGGAAGCGCTTCAGGTGTGTTTCCGGACATGCAAAAGATACATCCTAAGCCCTAAACCCTAAAACAACTCCCCCGGTGCCCAAAAGTGTGCATCGAAATCAGTACTTGAAACATATGCGACGACGATGGCCCGCATTTACTCTGGCCATTGGGATCCCGTTCATTTCAGCCACGGTGCTTGCAGATCTTCACGTCGGATCTCAGCTGGCAGCTCCTCTAAAGCCTGCAAGCATCAACTGTGATCATTTGCAGTGTCCAGGGCTGCAATACTTGGACAACAATTTAAAGCGCCTGCAGCAGCGTTGCACTCTTCACCCAGACCCGCCGGTACCAGAGCTGCAAAAACATTCGCCAGAGCGTGAGCCACCTTGGAAGAAGAGTAGTTTAGGTTTATGCCACTTTTCAACCTCCGAACCAGAGGTGCGGACGCTGTCTCACTCTTGCCAGTCTCTCTCCGAATCGAGCCGTAGACATCCAAAATGATGGCCAGGACCTGGCACTACGGAGCTGGCATAGGGTTAAGAAAATCAAGAAAAGCACCAAGGCTCCGGCCAAATTTAACATGACCACATTTAGTAAAACCATGAAAGTCCACATCCAGAACATCGTGGTGAAGTAATTCCTTTGGCAGCTGCTGCTCGAGACTAATAGCGATGCTGTCTTCACCTGGGGCCATAGCTCTTCCGAGTAGTAAGGCCAATCATACCTGGCGGTCCAATGTCGTCCACCATGAGTAATCCTTGCACTGCTCTGCTCGCGAATTTTCGTTAATCAAGCCAGCCATGCTCTCCCTCAATCATTAGCTTGAAGCAGTAGCCGATCGAAGCGTCCAGAGTCGCGAATTCCTTGTTCCGGTGAGAACCGAGCATGCTGGCCTCAACACAAATACGCCGTCCTCCATTCTTCGGCCGAAGATGAAGCACCCAGCCCTTCAGCTGACTCAACTACTCAACTCGAACTTTTCCAAACGATTAACTCTGTATTGTGCTCACGAAGCTCAGGCCAGCACAGAGCATAAGCCTCAGTCGCGTTGGCCGATTGAACTATGGAGACACTACGGAATGCCAAGGCTCAGACCAGCCATGTCGGGGCCAAAACCACCAGGAAGTGGACAATGTCGAAGGCGCTGACCTACTTAAGGCAACCGACAGGCCTTAGAAACGATTGTAGGATTCTAGGGGGCCCAGTTAACTTTCCACAGCTGCAAAGGAGCAGGCGCTGAACAGTAAGGAAGCATGCGCGAGACATTCAGCAAGACCAGCCAGCTCAGGGCCAATTCTCGTGTTTAGGGTGTCTCAACACAGCCACTGGCAGCCTCCAACGTTTTGGTCACCACGGCTAGTCGTGGCTGCGCTCCAAAGGCCGTGAAGAAGCGCACCATGAGAAGCAAGCAGTACCTGACTACGCAACCGGAAGCTGTTGAAGTCGTTGTTCTACGGTCGGCTGAACCGGAAGCATGATGCACACTGCAACACTCCTGTTGCTTATCCTGCACCATCGCTAGCTGCAACACTCAGGATGTGGCAGACCGGTAACAACCCGGAAGTTGACCACGAACCAGCTCATTTGTTCAACCTCGCACAGAATTACCAAGCTCTAAACGCTTCCGACAGCGAAATGGGGCAGCCAGAGCAATGCTTGCATATTTTCGGGGTTTCGGACGGCTCAGAGCAAAAGGCCTCGTTCAGCAGCGCGATGCCGGTGCTAGTGTCTGCAGGAAGATCCTTCCAGCTATTTCCAGCTGAATCTACCGCCGACACTGCTGCCTGTAAACATGCCAGAACTGGCATGCCGCCCCATTTGCATGCCTGCTTGCGCAAGGATACAATTGCTGCCAACACGGCTCCTCCTCCGCATTTGCAACCACTGCTTTGTATGCCGACACAACATCTTCGCCTGAGCTGCGGCGACATCAACTGCTCATTCGTCTTTGCGGGACGCTCCAAGGTGGCACGCTCCAGAGCCGAATGCTCTACGCCAAAACTGAGGCCACAAACGCAGAAACATTTCGTACCCGTAGCCGATAAGGACAGCAGCGCCACCAACTCGGTTTCAGTCGGCTTGAGAGTGGAGGAGCAGTAGTCCGAAATAGCACCGTCTTTGCTGAGATCGAAACAGATAGTGAGCCATTGCAAAAGGGTCCACCCTTTTCTGATGTGTTTCCAACCCTGGCCGAAAGCGATCAACTGCAAACAATGCACATCAATGCCCGGTGCAATCTCAAGTCATCAACGACTTCAAGCCCGGTGATTAGAGTGACGGCAACTCTCGCAGCACTGACATGATCAATTCGAGTCCAACTGGATGAGCCTGACGGCTTACCGACGCAATCACTATGGTAACGCTCTCGGTACGATAGACAACAAGACACCAAACCTCAGCATTGTGGACAGAGCAATGGAGAATACAGTAGTGTTGGAATGCCGGCCAGGACACAGCAGCATAACAAAAAGAAGCACAGCTAGAAGTGCCTATCAACTACGAGATGTGGCCACCGTAGTAGCGCCAGGCAATGTAGGAGGATGACGACAGGATGCGGAAGAGAGCAGCCGCAGCAGTGACAGCAAAAGCACTGCAACGGCAACGGTGGCAATAGTAGCGGGCAACAGCACCTCCGAAAGCGTTGTCGTCCTCGCAATTCGCCTTCGTACTCGTTGTTGTATCAGCAGAATCCGAACTGACAAAGCGGAAGCAAAGCAGCAAAAGGAGCAGCAGTCGTGGTGGTAGCGGCGGCGGCAGCGGCAGCAGCAGCAGGAGGAGGAGGAGGAGGAGTCGTAGGTGGCAGTAGTAGTAGTAGTAGTAGTAGTAGTAGTGGTACTGGTACTACTAGTACTAGTACTACTAGTACCAGTACGAGTACTAGCACTAGTAGTACTAGCAGTACTAGTAGTACTAGTAGTAGCAGTACAGTGTGCTGGGAATTTAGAACAATTACTTGAGCAAGATTGCCACGCAATCTTGCAATCTTGCTAGTTTACCTTTTAGACCAAGATGACAACCAATCTTGCATTTTGGTCTCCAAAAAGGTAAACTAGAGGGCGAGCGAGTTGGGCGGGGGGGAGCAAGATTGCTTGTCAATCTTGCTCCCCCGCCTGACCAAGATTGTGAAGACGGTCCCGCAAAATATTTGTTCTAAATTCCCGGGACAATGTAGCAGTAATAGTATCCAGCGGTACACATTAGCAGCACGACTTGCGAACCGGGAAGCAAGATTCAGATCCAGATTATTTTCGCTGCATTCAGTCGCAGCAGCATGACAACGATGCCGCACGACAAAGCAGCCCGGAGGCCACGACAACACGCGACACCAGCCTATCCGCCGACCCCGCACCCCCGAAGTGTTTTTTTGGGTTCGTTTGCTGCTACCGGCTCCCACAGCCTCCAATGCGTGCCCAAACCCCCCCAGGCCCCACCGTCTCCAATGCCTGCCCGAACCCCCGCCGCCCTCAGCGCCCCCGCCTTCACTGTCCCCAGACCTTTCCTTCTACTTATTCAATATTCCCACAGTACGAAGTATTTACAGGCCTCCAATGTGTGCCCAAACCCGCCGCCCCCACCGCTTTGACCGCCCTCTCCGCTCTCACCGCTCCAACCGCCCTCAGACTGCTCGGTTCCATCGGGGTTGTTCCTCTGTTGATTGGGTGGAAGGCAAGGGTGTCCGTGCGTGGCTGTGCGGCGTGAAGAAGATGGACCAGGATGAGAAGGTTTCGGACAAGAAGGCGGGCGCGAGGGGATGCGTGCGGCAACCGGCCACATTCATGCCGGATGTTCTTGTGCAGGCTCGGGCACGATCAGCTGCGAGCCGAAGGATTGACAGCGGCTTCGTCACTGGTCGACAAGCTGTTGGACCTGCACGGTGGAGGTGGGTCGTCCAAGCGGCGACGCAAGTTTACGGAGCGTGCGCGGAAGTCTTGCCGGTAAGCGGAACGTCTGCAAGAAGTGTCAAGCGTTAACTCCCAAGCCTAGTCCTGAGCCTCCATCCCGTTGCTCCTCTATTGCGGCCGAGCGGCGCGACCGGTTCTCCGGCCGCTGCGCAATGAAGAGCTCCATGGAGGCGGGCAATGCGTTGCTTGAGGGTTAGGGGTTGGGGGCTGCCCCTGACGGCTTCTCATTTTGGGGGTCGGCGCGGCCACTAAATCGGGCAGCGCTCGGTCCCGACCGAGCGCCTGCGTCCTCTGAGCTGGTTTTGGCCTTGCTATAGCCTTGCTTTCGCAAACGGCGCGACCGCAAGTTCCGCCGACCCTGCATCATCGGACCCTCGTTTTTCCACCGGGCCGCGCGGGACCTCGCCCGAAAAACTTTCGGAACATGTAGCGTTTCGCAGCCATTCCCCGCTGTATGGCGGGTTTCGGGGCCCCCCGTGGACGCCAGCCGACGAGCATCATGAGCACTCGGGGCGCCCGCAACCGGCCTTGCAGCGCGAGGCGATGTTTTGTCATTTTTTGAGTGGGTTGCGGAAGACCCGATGGGCGCGCATCATCAGCATCAGCGGGGTTCGGCGGACCCCAAAGGGCGCGCATCATCAGCATCAGCGGGGTTTTTTGTGCATCTACCTGCGCTGCCCGCCCGTGGGCGCAGCCCCTAGAATAAAACCTTGGCACCTCTATACCTCTTCAACTACATCCTCGGCAGTCCGCGGGTTTCCCGGCCTTCCGCCTGGCGATCGCCTTTCCGAGCTGGAAACACTCGGACCTCCCAAGGGTCTCTTGGGTGCCAAGGGTCACTTCACATCCCATTTACGTCTGAGCATCTTAGCCACGGACAGGAAGAAGCCTGCCAAGAATACTGCAAACAGGATGTCAAACACGATGCTCGTAACCTGAAAGGCATGCAGATCGCATGTACTCAGAATGGGATTCGGAATACGAAGCGGTGACACTGCTTCTTGACACTCTTCGAAGGAAGACCGCAGTCTGAGCAGGCTGCGCCAGGGAACATCTCGAGGAACAGCGTATTGACCCTCAGCCCAAAGCGGTATACAGAAGCTTGCACTGCTCCAAGTGTCACCAGAAACAGTATCTGGGAAGTTGACCTGACCTGTTTGAAGAAGCCTCCTCCGCGGCTTTGCGCCTTGGATGTTGCACAGGGCACGCTGCGAACATCTGCGAGCGTTCCAAGCAACCCGGCCAACTCGATGGTGAACTTCTGCAGCCGGGGCCTTGCAGGAATAAAATTGCAGCTACGTAAAGCTTCCGTGCAGGTTCCGTCCATTGTGCAGGAGAAACCTTCCGACTTCAGCATTCACGAGCACGGCATTGATCTTCAACAGCTTCGTTCGCACCTTGAAACCGCTTGCATGTAGCCGCATACACTGTAAGGAACCTTGCGACCTGTGCTATGCTGAGATCTGTATTGGTGGCAAGATGTGGCAAGATGTCACAAGATTACAGCACATTGGATGCAGCAAAGCCGAGCTACTCAGCCGGGATCCTGACATCTAACCATTCACGGTTTTTGATGTAGGCGACATGCTCTGCTATCAGATCAGACGGCGTGTTCGGGTAGATGGCCACTTGGAAAGTATCCTTCCAAAAGCAAGCAACTTGCGTACACTCAAGCACATGGTGCGAAGCCGCACCCAAGTCCATCAGAACGCAAACTAATTTGGGTTGCTGATGGCTCCTCTGGAAAACTTCGCGGCAGCCTGCGATCCGATTGACATGTGCCAACAAAGCCCAAGATCTGGACGTGCACGAGGGCCGTTTTGATTGCTGGGACTGTGACAGAAAGTCGAACTCTGGCCGCGTGTCCTCCGCAAGCCTGGCAGGTGATCACCCGGCGCATTTGGCCTTCAATGGCTTCGGCCGTGTAAGCAAGCCCAAGATATTCCCCTTCCTTCGTGAGGAGGATGCTGCTACTTCGAAAGCAGAGTCCTAAGTTGAGCCAGATGCAGCCCGTGCACTCCATACTGCTGCAAAGACTTGTTCAATATTGCTCTCAGCCTTTGGCATAGTAAGCTCTTCTCTGTGCTGGCCTGAGCGCATGTTTGCAGTCAGACCAAAAGACGAGGCCAACGGCTCTCGATGTCGCAAAACAGGTTGTTGTTCCAGTGCAACTAATTCCACTTCGATCTTTGCTACTATTGCGGCTCAGCGGCGTCACAGCTCCTCCCTCGTACTCGCGAGGATCCGGCGCAGTGATCGGAAGCACCTCCCCAAAGTCATCATCTAGGACATTTACAAATGCTGATTCTTCTCTCCTGCCATCGGGGCCCTGGAGATTTTTGGGTGTCAAGAATCAAGGCCACCAGCAAGAATTGCTCCCGTCCGAGATGATTGCGGTCTGAGCCCCTTGATGCAATAACCCGGGACGATGAATGTAAAAAGCGATAAAGTTCTTGCGGCCTGATGCACCTATCGGGCCCCGCAAGCGTGGACGCTCAGTTTTGAGAGCATGGACCCAGCACCTGATTGGAACCGAAAGAGTCGCGAGAGGATGTTCTCTGACCGTAGCAGTACCTGCCGGGTGATTGGACGGACTCGTTCGAAGCGCACCTGGCTCTCTGACACATGTTCACTAGAAAGCACAGTGCCCTTCTCTTTCTCAGCTGAAGTTGCGTGCATCCCTGCCGTGGGCACATGTCGCCCGCAACACCCTCTCCGTCTTCGCACAAGGTCCTCATCCAGAGCATCTGGAAGCCCAGTCTTCTCAATCTTCTCAACCCAGGCCCACCCTCTCCCTTCGCTAGCGACTCGTCGAGCTGAGGCCAGGACTTTGTGCTCCGCTGCTGTTCCAGTACCACAGGGCCTTTCATGGCTTTTGCAGACTCCCTTCGAGTCAACATCTTGGGCGGGCCATGGCGAGCCTGTAACCTGATTGTAAGTCAGGACTCGGCTCCACCTGAATTGGCATGTGACACTTCCCGATCGGTCACGACACAAAAAACGGGAGCTGTCTGAGAGGTGCACATGGACTTGTTCTGGTACCTTGGAAGCGAATTCTGCTGCAAACTGACTTCATGTTGCCACGTTGCTGTCGGTGCGCGTGCCCTGAGCTAGCAACGGTACACCAAGCGAATCAGACTGCAGAAAGAGCTTAGGCCTGCAGGAAAAACTCTGTGATGCAGCAGTCTCAGAGTCCATGTGAAGTTCTCTCAGCAGTTGCTGTGTCCCAAACATAAGCTCCCCCTCTAACCTGGGCAGGTCAGCTGGATGGAAGGAGTCTGCAGAAGATCATCCAAGCTTGTCTCGGGGGCTCACCAGGACCAAATACCCTCGACGTCGCCGATGTCGTCTGACCCATCGGAAAGGTGTGTCCTAAGCCCAGACCTCGGATGATGCTTCTTCGTCCAGCAGTAGCCTCTCACAGTCTTACCTTGGTGCAGGGCTCGACCATATATACTGTGGTGATATCTTCGTGCATCGCAACCTCCGAGGCAGCTTAAAGCGAGGCCGCCGACTCAGACTCTGCTTCAGTTGAGGAAGCGTTCACAGATAGACAATCATAAACAAGCCCGTGCTCAGTCGGCAATCCACACATCGCTACAATTCTCTGCGTGAATCTGGGGGCTGGCATCAACGACAGCTTCTGACACTCTTGGGCATCTACCGCGATGACAAAGCAGAGGAAAAACAGCAAGTTGACAGGAAGTGACCTGCACCAAGGGCTCAGTTATTGAAACAGAAGCTGACTGCGGGAATCATGCAGCAGTCAAGCACGAGCGATGCTTAGGATCCTGGCAGACAGCCATAAAATCTCTCCTGCACCATCATAGCAAGGCACCAGGGCATAACATGGCTTACTTGGACCTAGACCATCCTGAACCCCTTGGCTGTGGAAGAATCTCGATTCAATCCAGGACCCACGCGAAGCCAAGTGTTCGAAGTCCTGCCGAGTAGTGATGACGCGCTGCATCACTCCTCTAGGTACAGCCTCCAGGTCCTGGCACCGGTCACAGCTGCACAGGCAAAACTAGGAAACTAGGACGCTGCCTTTCGACCCAGCAGCTGTCGTGCTATTCCTGTTGGGCAGGAAACCGTTTGTGGAACCTTGGGCGGCCTGATCCCAGGACTGCCAGGACTGCTTGAAAATCTGAACATGTCCTCGATACTTCTCTGCAGCTTTGTGAATTCGTGACACATTGCTTGCGCGACCTCGCCATGCAATGTGTTCTGCGGAGGCTGTTGACCTGCAACCGAATCATGAGGCCAAGGCCCAGCAAGCCCAGGCCCTGCAGTCAGGCGAAGCGCTGAGCGGAGGTTTACAGACGCAGTAAACTGGCAGTAACTTCTAAGGGGGCATCAGCCTGCTACTACTGACATTTGCAATTGACGATCTTGCGCTGAAGCCGACAAACGGGAGGAGAAGCGACCCTCTTAGAGCATTGTGAAGCTGGCTCACTGTCTCACTGTCTATCAAGGCTTCCCCTTCGGCCGAACCGAAAAGCTACGCGATTGGGAATCTGAGTGAAAGGTCAAGTTTCGCCAACACCAACATGGAACCTGCCTCAGTTGTCACGGTGCTCTTCACCTCCAGACCTTACCAGAAAGTTGGATGTCCATTTAGGCATCGCATGAGGCCCTGATGCATTGCTTAGACGTCTCGTGCCAGCTCCAAGTACATGGCCAGAGTCGTCGTTAAACCTGGCATCAGCACGTCATTGGACTAGCTCTCTCAGCCGCCCAGTGCGTGCGCATTGGCCAAACTTTGATGGTATGACAAGGAGTCATCGCGCTCCATGCTGGGCTGCCCTGAGAGCAAACGATAGAATCCATTAATTTTGATAACTGGCAGGAGCCCAGATGCACCCCCCTGCGGCGCCTGCCCGGACCTACAGGACGTTCCGGCCACACGCTGGCGCGGACGCCCATCGGCTTTGAGCCACGTGCGGGCAGCGCTTCTCAGGCGATGTGTGTTCTACTCGGTTGCTTTGTACTCCTGCTGAGGTGGTTCCGCTCGCTCATGGCTGTCGACCTACGGAAACTATCACACCCGTCTGGCAAAAACTCCACGCAACTCTGCGAACTTGTGCTCTTTTTGAGGCTCCTCCGCAACGTTTAGAACAAGCCGCCTCCAGTGTTCGCTCCAAACATGCCGCCTCCAGTATTTCCGCCAAATAAGCCTCCCCCAGTGTTGCCTCCGAAGAGTCCGCCACCAGTATTAGCAGCACCTCCGAAGAGACCACCCCCTGTGTTGCCACCAAAAAGTCCACCGCCGGTGTTTTGTCCACCGAAGAGCCCTCCACCAGTATTCTGTCCGAACATTCCTCCACCAGTGGTTTGGCCGAACATTCCACCCCCCGTGTTCTGTCCAAACAGACCCCCTCCGGTGTTGCCGAACAATCCTCCACCAGTGTTCTGCCCAAACATGCCTCCACCTGTGTTTTGGCCGAAGAGGCCTCCACCGGTGTTCCCTCCACCAAACAGGCCGCCACTGGAGCTTTGGCCAAACAAGCCTCCACCAGTGTTGGCACCAAACAGGCCTCCACCAGTATTGGCGCCGAAAAGGCCTCCACCAGTGTTAGCCCCGAACATGCCTCCGCCGGTGTTGCCACCGAACAAGCCTCCACCAGTGTTGGCGCCAAACAGGCCTCCACCAGTATTGGCACCGAAGAGGCCTCCACCAGTGTTGGCACCAAGAAGGCCACCACTGGTTGCTCCCAAGGGGCTTGCACCCGGAATCATTCCTTTGCTGATCAAGGTAACCGAGGCCACTTGGGAAGGCTGGTAATCTATCTCCACTTGCAACCACGCAGCCACCGCAGCCCATCAGACCGATCCTGGCACGGTTCAGACAATCCATGCAGAACGCTCAGCTGCCTCGAGCTTCGTCAAAGCAGGCCGGTGACACGAGCTGATGGCAAGGGGCCCAAGAAGCTGGCCCTGAAGCCGAACATGCGAGCCCTTCCCAAATCTTCTCGGCGGTTGGGTTCGCGTTGAGAATGCGACTTGCACAGGTGGAGACAGAAGGACAGCAACGGGCCACAGATAACGCGGGGTGGGCACCATGTCGCGGGTGAGCGTTCTGCAGGAAGGCGGGCGTGGGATCCGACGAAGGACACGGGCACGGGACGCAACGGCAGTACGCCACAGAACGGGTGGGAGGTGTGTTTAAAGGCGGCACGCCGGGGAGCGCAGCGGCAGAAAAAAGCGCTTGGGCAACCTGCAGTCGCGAGTCAGTGCCCGGGCAGGTTTGCTTGCGCACTAGAGAATTAAATGTGTTTTCAGCGGCCTCTTGAAGGAAAATAATCTGAGAGCAGAGCTCCAAAGTTTGCTCCGGCTCGGGCAGCGACCTGCCGTGTAGACAGCTGAGAAAAATCCGCTGGGCCCCTGGCAAAAGCCGGTGGCAGCTTCGACTTGAAACTTGCCGAGCTCGCCATGCGTTGGTCGGAGTCCTGTTCTGCAGGCCTCGCTAACCTTGGCGAGCGGCTCGCAGGAGCATATAGGAGGATATGGCCGGGCCGGCATACATATGCGAATAAGCTAGGAATCGCACATGCCGACCGGAACACCTGTTTTGCAGACAGACCACTCAGCAAACACATGTGAACGACTGGAGTGTGTTGTTCCAGCTTCGGACTTCGGATCACCCAGGCAGAGACAGGCAAGATTCGAGCACCAGCCCAGAAATCACGCACAATGTGTCATTGACTTGCTTTTGGGATGAAACTGTTGAGTCTCAGCATGTCTCTTCGACTCTGTCATTCCAAGCAAAGACAGTCTCGCATTTTACAATACCACCACACACAAGAGCCACAAATTTGGCACTTACTCGAGGTTCCACTCACACCACCCTGCTGCATCCGGCCGGCTTCGCATGGCTACGAGGGAACCTGCAGAGAAGCATTTCTGTCAATTGGAAATTTTGGATGGCTTCCGATATCCTATGAAATAGCTATATTCGCGTTCTTCAGACAGCAGTGCAGAGAACACTGCATGCGACGCAAAGAGCAGTGACTTTTGTTCTCTCCCCCGAAAAACTTTCCACCCCATGTGAATCGAGGCTGTTCGCCCTTTCCGTATCATGTCATGGCGACAACGCTGAGCCATACCACGTCAGGTAAACCATGGCGATTCCGACGCGAGGACAGCTCCCTCAAGCTTCCCGCATGGCTGAGGGATGCTTCCACACTGTTATTCGCAAGGCTGTACCCAGAGGGCACTTCTCTCAAAGGCGCTTCTGACCTACAAACTTAGATGGAGCGGTGGAGCGACGGCACGGAGCTCAACCGGCGCCGGCCCGTGTAAACGGAAGACGAAGCGAAGGGAAGTCCAAAACATGCACAGATGTCTTAGCCGTCCGACGATGTCACCTCACTTCTACACATCGAAAGTAATTTAGTACTAGGCTGTTACTTATTCGCATGGATTCAGGCTGAAGCAAACTCTTCTGCAAACAGGTTGCAATCGAGGCCTCGTGTCCTCACAGCTGCATCACGGAGCTGCTCGATCCGCTCGCCCGCCTGACATCTTGCCCTAAACGCCCTCTTCAGGTTCCTGATCTGCGAACGTCATAACGCTGTGTGTGAAAATTGGACATGTCACCCCGACAGGGCCCCCCCCTCCAAGGCGCATGCTTCTCCAAATCCAAGGCGCACACGGCTTTTTCCAGCTCCAGTACGCACACACGTGTTGTTTTCATAGGTTTTTACCAGGTATTTCGAAGCTTTCGGATTCCCGAAACTTTCTCAGCTATA